TCTATCTGCAGGCAGATAAAGGAGAGTTTTTGTATTGACTTGTGGGGAATCTGAAGCACTGTGCCGACTGGCAGCACAGAAATACACACCGCTGTCATTTAATGAAAGACTGGAAATATTGAGGTTCGAATATTTCTGGCCATTTCCATCAAAGCTGATTTTTCCCTTCACGTCTTCCTCAGGGTATGGGTAGTTGAGATTCAAATATCCCAGGAACTGCAGAGTTTTACTTTCATCTTGTTTGTACCAGAGAATAACTTGATAACTTGCTATGGTGTGTGAACATTTGATCCCACTGACAACAGATTCTCCAACTCTCTTAATGATGAAAGGAGGCGTTTGGAAGACGCTGTCGGAGAGAGAGGCACCTGTGGGGAAAGAACAGACGCTGTTTAAAACACTGAAATTATTAGCTGTTGAATGTGTTCTGCTGTTTGTATACTCACCCTCATTCCCCGGCAGACGAAGGAAACAAAATAGAAAAACCTGTAACATCATAAAGAATAAACAATAAAAACTGTGAGACTCTACTGTTGGCTTCCCTTTCAGGCCCTTTCAGCTCAAGAGCACATGACTATTACACTATATGAAACAGGGGAGGTGTCCGATATATACATCACAACCTATGCTTTATTAGCAGTGTTTGTCTCCCCCTGCAGGTGTGAAAAATACTGCATGAGTCAGTGTGTGAAGGTTATGAGAAGTTGGATACATTTTTTTTATTTTTTGACTTCATTTGACAGCTCAAGACAGACAGGAAAGGGGGAGAGAAAGGGGATGACACACAGCGAGGGGGGATGCAGGCCGGACCCAAACCCATGGCCGCTGCAGCAAGGACTCATGGTATACAGGACGCCCCCAACAATACTTTCTTGTTATGCTTTGTTTGACTTTTGCTCACCAGGCTTTCATTGAAAAGTAATAATAAAATAATAATAACTAATATTTAGAGATGAAACGATCAACAGAAAATGAATCTGCAACTTTTTTGATAATTGTATAATTGTGTAATTCCATGTAGGAATGAGGTGGGTGGTGTCATCGCGCATCTTCTAATATTCTAACTATCATGTCGACTACCACTACACTCCACTGGTTCAGTATAAAGGGCTGAGTTAAGATATACCACCACCTACTGAAAGGAAAGCATACAGGTGCAAGAGGCTGTGTGCTACAAAGATGAAGAGTGTGATGAGGTTTTTGTACTGAGGAGCAGTGATATGTAGCACTGTGTAAACTAGCAGCACAGAAGTACACTGCACTGCTGTTCAGCTGGAGTTCTTCAATTGTTAATGTGCAGGTTTGGCCTTTATTTGCATCCCCTGCTATCTTCACTTTTACTCCATTCTCTGGTTTTCCAGAGTTTCCTAACATATATCCCAGGAACTGTAGTTGTCCATCTGTTTGCTTGTACCAGAGGATTATGTTATAGGTGTCAATCTCATGTGAACAATTGATTTTGGCTTTTCCTCCTGGTGTGTTGTACATGTCAGCTGGAGTCTGGTGGACTTTCTCACTGAGAGAGGAACCTGGGAAGAAAGGATCAATACAACAAAATAAAACATGAGAATAAAAATTACGTAAATTCCAGTAATACGGCTGAAACCTCAGCATTGTATGAGACTAACTATTAACACATTATGTTGAAAACTTGGAAAAGACCATTCTAAATGTTTCAAATAATTTTGACTATGAACACATTTTGTTAAAAATGTGAGATAAAATTATATTATAAACACTTTTTGATGACATTACCTGAAACCAGAATAGAGTTAAAAGTAATGCAAATGAATAAGAGGATCATTTTGTGTTTTTCTGTTTGTCTTTGCAATGAGTGAAACAGTTATACTGACTATTCCAACCTTCTTGTGGCTTAAACCCTCTCAAGTCATTAGGTGGGTGGTGTCATTGAGCATCCGACTCATTTTAACTACCTCTTACACATCACTGGCTCTGTGTGTGAAGATCTGAGTAATGATATGCTGAGGAGGAGAAGTTTGTCAAAATAATATTAACTCAAGGTCCACTTGCTAGCTCTTTCTGGAGCTTTAACCATATCTGATGGTCTTTTGGTGATGCTTAAATATCTAACATATCTGCTTCACTATGTTTTACACATGAATACTTTTTGGTGTTGGACTGGACTAAAAACAACAAGCAATGTAAAGATGTAGTAAAATAGAATCATAATATTTTGACAATGAAAATAACTGTCATTTGAGGCCTCTTTCTCATGAATAATAATAGTTTATTCCATAGATTTTAGTTACAAAGATAGCGAGATTTATATTGAAAAAAACGTTATATGCTTAAAATATTTCTGAATCTTTTCTTAAGATATTGGTCTTGTAAAGTAGTTTCAGTACAAACTGCTAGAAATACAGGAGAAGGTCAATAGAGAGGTTTTTGCGTAGCGTTGTAAGTTAACTGTGCCACTGTGGTCCCCGACGCACAGCACAGGAAGACAAGCCTTTATCTTCTTTGGCTCCAGATTGTTGACTGTGAATGTCCCAAATTACCAAAGTCATGATCTTCACTCCAACTATTGTGAACACTATAAGTTTCATTGCTTCTCCTGGCAGCTGTCTGCACCGGTACATCTGGTAGTAACAGTCCTTTGTGTGGCTGCAGTGTATTGTTGCAGTGCCACTCTTGCCTTTCCACAGTGTGGAGTTCAGGGTCACCTCACTGCCATCAGTGAAACCTGTGTACATTACAGTAAATATTGTCAGTGTAGCTACAGAGATATGAAGAGCTGCAGGTGGGAGTGTCATATATTATGTGGCATTTGATCAAAGTGTAACTGGGAGGATTTGCGGTCCTCGAGGTCCCCCTACAGTACATGAGATATTGAAACAGTAATTCTAACAGTGCACTGAGGTTTTTGTTCAGCTATTGAGTGCATCTGTATCACTGTGTTCACTCACAGCACAGAAGTACAAGCCTTTATCTTCTGGCTCCAGATTGTTCACTGTGAATGTCCCACTGGCAGCGTCAGGTTTGGTGGCTGAGAATTTCTCTGTGCTGAAATTACCAAAGTCATGATTTGGGTTGGTGGTTGATGTGAACACAATTTGTTTCATAGTTTCTCCTGGCAGCTGTCTGTACCAGTACATCTGGCGGTAGGTAGCACCCTTTGTGTGTCTGCAGTCTATTGTTGCACTTTTGCCTTTGTATTTCCACAGTGTCTCATTCTGGGTGACATCGCTCCCATCAATTAGACCTGTACAAACAAACCTTTATAATCAACCAATTTCTGGACTTTTTGACAAAACTTCCATTTAAAATGATAAACAATTGCAACAAGTGATGAAAAGTTAGTTAATTTAAAATGTATCAATAATGCAGGGTCCCCAGTAAATTACCTGCAGTCCACAGCACAAAGACTGATAAAATGAGGAGGCCTTGTTTAATGATAATATCCATGTTCTGTTGATGCAAACTGCCAGAGTCTCTAATAGATTCATAGATATAAAGAGCTGCAGATGGGAGTGTCTCTGGATTGTATGATGTGGTTTTTTTGAGTTCCTGTATCAGTTAAAGTGGTTCTTGGGGTCCCCCTACTGTCCATCACTCCCATCTGCAGTCATTGTAACACTGACAAGCTGTTTGCCAGTGACGTATACAGTGATGAACAAAAGATGAATGATATTTCTGGACTGGTTGTCCTAAAACGTGAGGAATTCTGATCAAGTTTGGTTGTTGTTTACCAAATCAAACCTGAAACAATTTATAAGAAGAATATACATATTATTCATAACATTATGAGCACTGCCAGTTGAAGTGAATAACACTGAGTGGGGTACTTATTTTCACTAAGTTAATTGAGGTCCACTGAAATTCATAATGTACTAATAAAATGGTTAAAACATGTCAATATAAACACATTATTTGAGCGTAAACCTATTTTAAGAGCAAATTAGTTGAAGTTCAGTTGAATTTTTCTTTTTTTAGCATGAAGCAATATTTAGAGATTTTTACAATAAACAAATGAGTCTAAAATAATATCTGGTTATTTTACTTTATTTACTGATAAAAAAAAAAGTAAGCTCTCAAGCTGAACAGCTGTTATTGGTAACTCACTGAGCTGTTCAAAAGTGCAAAACAGCATCCACATATTTTATTCTGAAATCAGTTTCCTCTTTCAGTCTGGTGCTGTTCAGTCCACTGAATGTGAAAGTCAGAAGGACCAAATATGGATGCAGATTCACAGAGGTTTAATGGTGACTCAAGTTTAAGTACTGCAGCCTAAAAAGGTAGTTGGTTACTGGGATATTTTGTTTATTTTTCTACAGGTCTAATCTTTTATCCCTCCAAAAATATACTTGCTTTAATACATGGTTGTACTGAATTGTTTACAGTTTGATCCAGTAGGTGGCACTGTGTTCATACTTTTGTAGCAAGACAGAGAAATCTGGGAATTCAGACAGTTTTTTATTTATTTATTGAATTACTGCCTTGTTATATAAAAAATGGACAAACATGGTCACTGCTAGTGTCATGATCTCAGAATATTTCTCAATGTCAATTGTGTCTCATGTTCCTCACTGTCAATTTAAAGGCCCAGTGTGAAACATTTAGAAAGATATATATATATAATATTCATAAGTGAGTTTTCATTAGTGTATAATCAAGTGAAAATAATGTTTCCTTAGAATGAGCTGTTTTTATCCACAGGGTGGAGACTATTTTCCACAGTAGCCCAGAATGGACAAACTCTAGATGAGGCCTTTTTGTGTTGTCATGCTAGATGCCACTAAATCCTACATACTGGTCCTTTAGAGAAAAAGGTCAGCCAATTAGTGAACACATGACAAAACATCCTTCTGGAAGCCGACTGAGTTCAGATCCAGTTATCAGAAGCTGAATTTGAATGACCCTGTACACTAATTTACATTTCGATTTAATTCGGCCCCCTGTTGTTTTTAAAACCCAAACTTGAACTCTGATCTCCCGGCTCCTCTTCCTTCTGCTGTTCCGGCAAGTCACAGTAGATCATATCGGATGAAATATTTATTCACACAGCTGTGGTTGGTTTTCACAGACATCTTACAAGTGTACACAGTTCAGAGATATGTGAGATTTCACAAACCAATAATGAACTGGATGGCTGCTGTGTCTGTGCAGCAGCAAAACCCAAATTCAAGGAAGGCTTCCTGGTTGGTGGGACTGGTTTGAGGGGGGATCAGGAACCCCTGCTGACACTCAGCAGATATACTAAAATGTATAAAACAGCTACTTTATAATTCAGTTTAATGTACTCATCGTTGTAATTGATCAGTCTGATTAAAAATCTAAAAGAATTCAGTTTTATGAAAAGGCACTGAAGAGCTTGTCCCACATTACTTAACTTTATTTACACAAATAACAATCACATCAAGTGGTGGAGACACAAACTAGCATTCAAAACCCTCTCTTCAGCTGAACCCATGAAGGTTTTCATTGACTTTAACTGTAACAGTGCGTCAAATTGCTCTTTGTGTAAAAAGAGTTCAGCTGTCAAATAAACCGCTGAAAATCTGGATGATTTTAGAGAAAACAAATCCAATTTTAGTCCCTGTACCACAAGTGAAGAAATTAAGAGTCCCTCTGTTGCAGACTTAACTTTTTCTTCACTTTTTTTACTCTTTGTGAGCACCCTCTGTCTGCCCTCTAAAAGTCTCCATCTCTTTACAAAATAACAATACAATAGTTACAAAATGCCTCAAAACATGCAGTATAAATATCAGTCATTTTACAGTTCTCATAACCAGAACAACATTGTTGGGAAAATCAAATTAACTTGAGGCAATGCCAGCTTCTTCAAGACACACACAGTTTGCATTTTGACTCACTGGTTCCCTCCATGTGAAACAACAGTTTGTCCTTTTGAACATTATGAAGGTTAAAGGGTCAGTTCACCCAAGTTATTGAATTTAATTTAATTTTTGGTGCTCTTGAATGTTGAAAATGTCTCTCCAGAAATAATATTGTGGTTACTCCCATATTGTTTTCTTTGGTTTAGTTAGATTCCTCTGAAACAAAATTGTTGACATGGAGATTTGTGGATTATTCTTAGTAATTACGACAATGTTTATTAAAAGAACCATTGCTGGGTTTTTCTGAACTCATTTTTTCAACGCTGCGAGCAGCACAAACAAGCAAAACCCAAACTATGTGGTTACCTACCGCTAATATTTGGTAAAACATGAAGGTAAATTGGGTGAACTGAGCCTTTTATCAGCATGACCATGACCAGATTCAGTAAGGGTTGAAAGGTCAGTCAGTTGAAAGTATTGAATCCGGCCTTATTGTGCAAAGGAATTCCCTCCGCGCCTCTGAACTCCTCTGCAATGTCATCGAACGTGCGCCCTTTTGTCTCCGGGAGGCGAATCCAGGTGAAGGTGAAGGCAATAAGAGCCACAGTCATGAAGAGGAGGTAGACATACGCGCCGCAGATTTTCTGTGTGTGGGAGGACACACAGGTATTAGTTTTATCAGGGTTCTTAATCTGTATTTAATCAAGTATGCTCTCTTAAGATCAAAAAAACCATTTTGAGCAACATAATTACACCATGTGAACAACACACTCTCATAAAGAAGACTAACATTCCCGACAAGAAGAAGAAGAAAAACACAAAAGCCATTAAAACACATTTACACAAGAAAGGAATTAAACAAAAAGGCTGTTTCATTTGGTTCATTGGTCTTCGTTTCAGGTTGGCTGCCATCTCTGCAGCATTATATCGAACAGATGTTTCCCTGGTTAACTGTTAATTTAATTACTATTATTTCAACCTGAATTTAAAGGATTTAGCAATAGATTTATACATATTTAACATCTACAAGATTTATTCTTTTCAGTATACTTTTTAAAGATTGAACAGATTTATAGCCTGTATTTAACAGCCATGTCTCTAAGGTGCGAGGGAACTTGCAAAAGCAAACAAGAAATCCACCTCCAAAGTTTCCCCTGAAGTTTAAGTCACTCATACAGCATCCAGGCCAACAGTATAAACCCACCAGTAATGGAGGAAAGAGGAGTGCCAGAACAAACTTCCCTCCCCAGTTGAGCATGCTGGTGAAGGCCATGGCGATGGGTCTCCCAGGCTGGTCGAACAGCTCAGCAGCAATGAACCAAGAGATGGGGCCAGGACCCAGCTCGTAGGCTGAAATCAGGCAGAAAACCAGCAGAACCTGCAGGCTCCGCAGCTCTGGGACCAGGTGCTGCACAGTGGATAGAAAAGTTTCTCTTTTAAGGATGGATGTAGGTCACTCAGTGAGTTGTATGCAAAAATGGGGCTTTTACTTTCACCCACATGGTTTTCTCTTTAATTCAAACCAAATTTCATGCTGCCTGTTTATAAGAATGTCCATTTTAAAAGTAGCAAAATGTTCTGTTCAAACAACCAGGAACTTCAGTTAAGATTTATTCTATAAAATGCACGGTGGTTTGTTTTACAGGAAGCCTTGTTGGTAGATAATTGTACATATGCAATACTGGAAAAACACTAAGATGATCTCACCAGGACAGAATCGACTATGGTCATGAGTAAGTTGCACACTGCGATGGAGATGAAACCAGTCAAGAGCAACTTCCTCCTTCCTGCCCTTTCCATCAGGAAGAACTGGAAAGGAAAAAACAACACAGTGGCGTCTCTGCTCACATTTTTTCTCTCTTTTCAAAACAAAAATGCAACATTATCCTGTTGTAGCTCAAGCTGTTTAACCGTTCATAAAGTGGTGACAACACTTTTATCTTTAATCCAAGATTTTGGTGCAATTTGTGGCAGAATCTATGAAACATGACACAACTTGGGTTTTTTTTTTTGTTGTAGATTTAAGAGTTATTGAGCTACCGATATTATAATGTCATGAAAACCACATATAGCAAACTGGGAGCTGAAATGTGATTTTGATTTTGTACTCACTGCCACTAAAGTGAAGGTCACGTTGACAACCCCCACGCCCAGAGTCAGGTATTTGGCCTGGTCAAACTTGGCCTGGAACATTCGGGTAGAATAATTGATGATCTGGAAGAAAAGAGCAGGGCTTTCTTTTAGCTTAGTGTGTTACTGGGACATCTTTCTGTGTTTTTAGGAAGTGCTGTCCCGACACATTGCCCCAGAATCTCAGTAGGAGCCAGAGAGAAGTGCTGAGACTGAGTATAAATTATTGAGTAAATACTACAGTGCTGCAAGTGAAATATTCATCAGACAGTGAGCAAGCCACTTAGAGAAAAACTTTGTTTTATCCTTTAAAAGGCAGTGATATGAAACTGACCGCATTGAATCCCGAGAGCTGGCTGCCCAAGTTGATGATGAGGACGATGATGATTGGTTGCTTGTAGCGGCCCTTCTTGAAGAACTCGTGGATGGTGACTCCGGTCTGAGTGCGGGCGGCCTCATCCTTCATCTCTTCCAGCTCAGGGAACGCCTTGTCTTCACTGCCTCTCAGCCTCAGCAGGGCTAAAGGGCGAAAGCATCTTTTTTTTAAGGAGCTATTGTGAAATATCCACAAAGCTGATATATGAGACTGCTTTAAAAGCATTTCCATGTTGTGATTCCTGGAAGTCGGCAAAGTTAGAATCTCTCTCTGCGGGACTGTTGCCCTGTTGGACATCTCTACGATATAACTCCACTCTTTAATGACTAAAATGGAAATAATGGGACCAGTCATGTGAAAGGTGCAGTTGAAACACCAGAGTTAGTGGGACCCACCAGTCTCTGCCTTCTTCTCCTCTCCCTGGTTGATGAGCAGGTAGCGAGGGCTTTCAGGGCAGAAAGGTAAGACCAGGTACTGTGTCAGGGCCGGTATAAGAGACAGGGACAGCATCATTGCCCAGTGATGCTCTGTACCCAGCGCTGTCTCCAGACCAGCCACCTGCATCAAACACATAGGAAGGAAGGAACCACGTTTGACAGTTTTATTTAGTATCTGTACGCTTACATTTCCATTATACAGTAAAGGAAGAATTGATGGTGGTTGAATACTAAAACTTCCTGCACTGTATCCAGTGATTAGGGTAAAGGAGAAGCTAATTGGCAATCAAAGCAGGCTTAGCTAGACAAAATGATGTATATTTGTATCCAACAAACATATCATCTTATCTGTATACCTATTCAAAATAAAGCTGCAACACGAAACAGCCTGACCTACTATATAGAAGGTTATTAATCACATCTTAACGCCAAAAGCAAACTCCCCGTATTCTCACTATCACACTAACATAATGTGGCAGCCTTGAGAGATAAAAAGAAGAGAAACACTACCTAGATCAGAAAAGATTTAAACAGATATTCAGACAATCAAATTTTAATACGTGTCTTAACAAATGTAACTAATGTAGCCATACCAGCACTTGAGAGCCTCAAATAGGCAAGACAAAACTACCCCAAAAGGTCAGCATCACAAGTCAGAGAGAGCTCTTGGATCTTTTACATTCAATGCATTATGGAAGACGTAAGAAATTACAGAATTCCTACAAATGGCTGTTCTGTATCTAACCCTGCACTTCATCCACCACACTCTCTCTCTCTTAAACAACCTTTTCAGTCAAAACTGAAGACTTCCAGCACAGCCCTCACCATTCCCACCAGGATGCCCAAGGCAAAGGACACCTGGTTGAGTGTAGCGAAGGCCCCTCTCAGGTTTGTGGGAGACACTTCCTGTATGTAGAGCGGATTAAGACTCATCACCAGGCCGCAGAAGAGGCCGAACACCAACCGTCCCAGGATGAGGACCTCAAATGACTTGCTGGCTTTGGAGGCAGACATCAGACACGCTCCCACCACAGAGAGACAGTTCACTATGAGGATGGAGTTACGTCTGGAGGGGAAGGCGTGAGAAATTGAAGAAAGAAAAGGCAAAAAAAAAAAAAAAAAACAATAGAAATCATTTTCTGTCTGTTTCACCTTCCATAAGAATCTGCCAGATATTTGACTCCCAGCGAGCCCAGCAAGGCTCCAAAGTCTTTAATGCTGACAGAGAGTGACCACAGGAGAGTCAGGCTGTGATCTGGCATCGACTGGTTGTGTCTGGCTCTCCAGGTGTGGTTGAAAAACTCTTCGATGATCTGAACAGCAAAAACATCATGAAACACAGTAAAAATTCAACCTAGAGATGTGATTTCATCACTAACAATTCAACTGACTTATTTAAAACATGCATTGTTCCTTGTCAAACAGCTGTTGGTGAGGTACATTACTGTCAATATTAATTTATCCAGACCAAATCTTTTGTGGGTTATGTATTGTGAGGAATGTAGGACTTAAGTATGTGGATTCCTTTAAGGTTAACTCTAAAGATCTGCCTCAAACATTTAAAGCTGTCTAACAGTGAAAAGGCAAAATCCAGCCAACCCAGCAGAGCCAGACCTGGAGCTGAGCCGGAGGCTTTCAGGGGCTCGTTAAGTTTATTCAGTGTTTTATTGAGGCAGTGAGATATTTGTTTGACAGTCAGACGGTTCTCCAGCATCTCCCTTTGCAAGATATGTGGGGTTGATATTTGCCTTGTAGCATCAGCCAAGACGTGGTTGTCCACTGTCTATAAGATAATGTTATTTTGAAATTTCTTTGTTCAGAAAGATGTTCTTGGATTATTTTCTGGATGCATCGATTGATATATTTAGGTGATATCGGGATCTGAAATTAAACAATTGGTATGCTAACATAATGTCGTATCTCCCCCCTCAGCTCCTGTCTGTCCGGCTCACCTTGGCTGGAGCGTTGACGTTGCCGGTGTGGTAGCCAATCTGCAGGGAGCCGAGCACCGCTGCCAGGATGGAGGTCAGGAGTGTGGCTGTCAGATGGCTCTGTAAGGGTGTCGGGGTCAGTGACATTTCTTTCTTTACCCTGTAACTTATCTTAAACATTAACATGGTTTAACTTTAAAACTAACATGAAAGCAATCCTTTTTTATATTGAGCATATTCAACTCCTTCAATTAAATGCCCCGTACAACAAAAATATAACAATCCAAAGTAGCTACAGTTAATTATTCTGAATTACAGTTCATGTAAAAAATTAAAATTTTACTTCAGCTCAGTGAGCAACACTACTGATCCCTCATGGTTCTCCAAACATAATCAGCCCTATGACTCTGTGTAAAGGTCACAGTACTTTCACACACTAGCAAGATGTACAGAATTTTAATTACCACAAGTGAGTGTTAGTGCTCCTTCTGTCAGACTGTGTTCATTTGTAGAAAAAGGGCTAAAAGAAACAAACCTCCTTGGCTGCCATTTGTTTGGGTGAGACGGGGTATCACTCCCTCAAGAAGCTGGTGCATTTATCTTCTTCTGACTTCCTCTGCTGTGAAAAAAAGGATTTTGTCATTTACATATGATGATATTGTACTTATATAGGTAGGAGACTATGTCCACCGCAATAGACACACGCACGCACGATATTAGATACTTTACAGACTTTAACCTCTAGACAAATCCCAAAAATAATATAGTTGTATATTGTATATCAGTTGTCTCTCAATAGCATTTAAACCTGCAAATTCAATGTCTTAAATCCAGACAGAGACATGTCCTATATACTTTAACACACACCAATCAATTTTTATGAGAAAGAATGTCTAAGAAATGATATATTTTAAATATATATAGTTTTACATCTTACCTGTTCTGTGGAGTAAAGCAGGAAGCTCCTCTTGTCCAAAATGAGTTGTCAGTCAGTCTTTGAGGGTAATAACCGCTCATCAAAGTCCTCATGTAACTTGCAGACTCTGACATTAACAACTGTAGTGTATACAGTTAGTTCACATATTGAGGATGGAGGTAAAAGTAAAAAAACTGATTAAACTTATACCTGAAACAACTACCACTATCCCTCTGACGACAGCTTTAGTAAAACCCTGATGATAATATATAATAACCTTTACAAACTGTTTACAGACTTTGCAGCATACAGAAAACACTCTACATCCATCATCTACATCTGTATCAATATCTATATTAAGACCTGTATCTATATATACTTTTCTTTAAGTTCTCACCACTGTTCCTGATTGTCGTACGTTGATCCAGTCTTCATCCCTGAGTTTCAGATATAACTGTAAATTTTCCTGAGTGAACACACCACTACTGGAAACTGCACACACACACACTCTCTCTCTCTCTCTCTCTCTCTCTCTCTCTCTCTCTCACACACACACACACACACACACACACACACACACACACACACACACACACACACACACACACACACACACATACATATTGGACCAGTGAGTCCAGTGATGAAGTCACACCCAGCTGGTGAATTTGAGGCAGTCCTGACAGAATGGCAGTGGTGGGCCTCCTCTGGTTCTCATGGACCAGCTGATCGACACCCTGAGCTCCAACTGACCAAGGATCAGTTTATCTGCTGCACCCAAACTTCTGTTGGAAACAACACAACTGTTCCTAGGTCAGGGTTTAAAAGGCAACTCGTTTCCATTCGGAACACTGAGTTGGCATTTTGGCAATAACACAGCCACGTTCTTTAGTTTTGTGTGTGTGTGTTGTTCTGTGATGAAAATGCAAGAGTGTCTGATGACCTTGTATCTCCAATTGTCTTTCTAGGAACTCATAAAAAACGGTTTCGGTTTGAGCCATGCACATCTTAATTTAAATAAGAGATTATTTTAAAAACCCAATACGTTTATAGTATTTACCCACAGAAGAGGAAAAGACACTTGAATTGACAATAGATTTATACAATTAGATTTTCATTCAAAACCACTTTATTACACTGTAACAGTTAAATAACCAACGTTGTTGTTACATTAGTGTAAATGTCTGTGTTTCCCAAAGAGCAGTTCTCCAGATACATAATTAAATGCCATTAACAGCTTTTTCCTTCTAATAACCTCTTACATGTGGGTATATTGTAATAGATATTAGTGCAAGGTAATAGTTATGTGGTTGAACACACATATAGTTTTTTTGAGAAATTAAATGGTAACTACAAAGATAAATGTCAACAGCAGCCCACTTAATTGCACATGGGGGGGGTCAAGATTTGCTGAGCGATACAGAGATACTGTGTGATGCTTTCAAGGATTGTCTTAAAAGGCAACACCCATCACACAATGCTGTGACAATTTAGAGCCTGAGGGATTTAAAGGTAGGGTAAGAAATTCTAGGTAATACAGTTTTAATTTAATACACTTTTTTCCCCAAATTTACCTAAAAACTTCCTCATGGTCTGCTAGCTTTCTGATCAGTGGTGCACTAAAACATAAACTGGCGGTTATACACAAGCCCTGGCTCTGTAAATGGCAACCAAAGTGGATCGGACCAATTGCCAAGATATTCTGTTGTTGTGATGTTAGCTTCAGTAGCAGGAGAGTTGTGAGTATCGCTGTCTGGAGTGTTCTGGCTCTGGGAAACCGTCTCGTCCTCGCTGCATGTTAACTGTGCAGCAGCAACTTAAGCAACAGTTTGCTGACCCCACAACATAGCTAACGTTAGTTACATTAATTACTGTGTTGCTGCTCGCACTGTATCACGGTATTTGTCACGGTATTGGATTTCTCCAGGATAGCTCATCCCACCTTTAACACACAGTAGATGTGTGTACATACACCCTCTTTTGTTTCTTCTCCTCTTCCTCCTGTGACAGCAACCTAAAATTGGCCTAAAATTCACTGTGCTCTGTGTCATCCTGTGTATGTATATGAAAGCTCTGGATGTATCGGTTTCCAACATCTGTCCTGGAGCTGTGACCGAAGCAACATGAACATTTTAGAGTAATCCCAAACCAGACTGATCCTGATCAAAGAGATAAAATGAGAAAGGATCACATGAGGGGGTATGATGGAGCTTTATGGGGCTGGAGCCATCTTGGCCTAAAGTGTTTTTTAATGTATGTATAATCTGCTCATTAATGTTCATTATAGTAAAGGTCATTATCTGTGATTATGTTTGTGCTTACATGTTTTTGCGTGCAAATTCATCTAAGGGCCTGTGGGTGTTGTGTGTTCGCTATATTTGAATGATTGTTTGTTCCAGTAGTGTATCCATATAGTGTATTTAATCTTCTCTGTATTTCCCACCTATGAAGTCATATAGTATTTAATATATTACTTAAATCTCATTACTTCAGTTTTGTGGTTTTCATGCTTTAGTTTTAGCCGGTGAACTGCATATCCAAGGCATATCCTGTGTTCGTTCACATTAGTTTAATTTAATCCAGTCTTATTGAATGATGATAAATTGTTACACAAGTGTGTGTTGTTTGCACGTACTAGCATGCAAACATGCACACAAACACATCTATGTATTGTATAGGCTGTATGTGTGCACCTGAGGCTTTTCCACTAGTAAAATACAGGTTATAAGAGACTCTGCAAAATGAAATCATGATGTTAGTACATACACACACACACACACACACACACACACACACACACACACACACACACAACACACACACACACCTGCCTCTTGAACAAATCCAAATGGGCAATAACTGCTTTTTGCTGCCGAGTCGTACGAGCCAAATAAATAAAAGTATGGAGAAGAAAGATGAACTGAATCATAATGTCGGCTGAGGAAACGTTCCCAGCCTCGCCACAAACCACATCATTTGTGCATGAAAATCTTTATCATAAAACTTAAGTAAAATATGTACAAATAAATATTAAGTGCCCCCTGAGGCCTGGAGGTGATGAAAAGCAGATCATTTGCACTGACTCATATGTGAAATACTTGAGTTCTGTTGAAGGCAGAAAACAAAAAAACTCCCATAAAACTGTATACTTTAAAAACAGTGCTAGTTTCACATTTCATATTTTCATTTATTAACTTTGTAAATTATGCATTAGGACTTTCCAAATTGCCGATAGATTTTGTCATTTTCAAATATTAGATATTTCATATTTTGTAAGCTGTGTACCTTTTTATTGGGATTTATTTTCAGAGAACAAGATATTGTGATTTAATCTGTCTGTAGTCCAAAGTAAATGAGAAATTAAATCAGTTTTTCTTCATTTTCCACTACTGAAATTAAATTCACTAAAGCCAAACTGGGATTTAGTACTGAACTGTACTTGCCCACTGCTTACTTTAATTCTTTATTTACAAATCAAATCAACCCACAAAACCACCCTGATATCACAGGACCATATTTAACACAAATAGTGCCCCAAGTACAGTAGAGCAAGTATAAGAACAAAGAGTATAAGAACCAAAAAAAAGAGGGGAAAGAATAGTTGGCATTAGGGGGTAAAATGCGTCGTCCACCTGCAACCTCTGTCCTTGCAGCTGACTTCTCAATCAGCGTGTGGATACGCCTGTCTGGAACATGACCCCTGACCCCTGAGCCCTGGCCTCCTGGCAGGCAACCCCCTGACCCTTGTGCTCAGGCTGCTGTGCAGGTGCTGCTGCAGGCGCACAGGGCGTCAGGCACAAATGGTGAGCAGTGTGCACCGTCATCCCCCCACGCTAACGTTTAGCTATCGCACAAGCTAATGGCCCTCTCTAATTACCTGTAATGGTGTTTTTGATCTGTTTTTAAGTGTTTCAATGCACACAAAGGAGAAAAAGAAAACTGCACAAAATTGCTCATCACTAGCAAAACACGTGGGAAAATTTTAAATAATAGGTCATTGCATGGGAGTTCTAACAGAGCAACTCTTACATGGACATGGATACATACATGGATAGCTCAAATGTCTCAACGTAAAGATTTTCAGGGAATGAGAGACTGGATCCTTTATTTCTAGACATGCTGAATCTAAAATATTTTGTGATTTTTTTAATGATAAATCATTGTTAGGAGTAATATCTGAGAGTCCCATCAAATTATTCACACATCGGGTATGTTAGTAGTGAAAAAAATATTCAAAAACACAAGTTCTAAACGTCCTGAAACAACAACATGCAGCACCTGTACCGCCCACACATCACTTTCAAAACCCCAAATTCCAGTCCTCACCTATGAAACCCCTTTGGCAACCCGCCTACCCTCCACCCCACCTTTAACAAAGGAGAAAACACACACACGCACACTCTCTCTAAAACACACACACATGCGCATACATCCCTAAGCAGCTGCGTCATTATAAAACTCTTTTGAACTTCACACTGGAAGTCAAATGCCACATGTGTGTGTACAAGACAGATGTACAGCAGCTGCCTCTTGGCTCCAGTTTCATCTGTGATACAACCCTCTCTCCCCTTTCTGCCTCTCTCATTTCTAAAACCACCCCCATCACCAGCGTCCTCACCCCCGAAGCCCTCCGCCTCCCATCGTGCACTGACAACATCCGCACCTTTGAAGTCTCATCACTAAATCAGAGTATCTCACACCACACACAAATCAACAGGCCAAACAGAGTGCGTCTTTGTAGTCGAGTTTCAACATTTAAAGCAGGAGACAATTAACTAATTATTATTTATAGCAACCAGAGAGTCTATCTTTAGTCATTTGTAATGTTCAAATCATGATTCCTGCCAATTTCCTGTCAGTTTCTATGCTATACAAGATTTAACACTTCAGTAGTGGTGTATGAGTCTCCAATAAAATTAAGAAATTAAGAGATCCTTCTTACAAATATTTATTGTGAAATTCTGTTGACTGGGTAGCGTGTAGTGTGTGTAAACCCTCGTGCATACCTGGCTAACATGGTTCAATATGTGAACTTGCAGACTGCAGTGAGCTCTCTTCACCAATAGGGGTCAGTATTGAACTCCTTCAGACAGCTTGTCTTCTGTTGCAGCTCGAAATGCTTTTCCATTGCACAAGAGTAAGTCCAAACTGTACATAGTTTGAATAGATGTGGTATAAAACAGTATCACGATCAGTCCTACATTGCTGGTGTTTTCTGGCATGATTGTACCACATGTGCCAGTGCAACTGAGTTGGAAGAGAAGAGAAACATTTTAGTTCTGGAAAAGAAATCTGAACCTCTGAACATTGTTCCTAGATACTTGTAAAATAGTGCTTGTTGTGCTCTGTACACTTTCATTCTCTGCACACAGATGGGTGACAATTTAAAGGTAAAAACAACACAAACCTCCTTGTCTCTGGAACCCTTTCCATTCTCCCAAACATATTCATTCACATTATGCAAAGACCCCTTTTCTCCACTCATTCATTCAGGTTTGTCCTTTACTTTGTCACCGATCTGTATTCTTCTGCAAGAAATACACCCAGATTATGTCAGATTTTGGTGTTCTGGTCACCACAATCAACTCTACACCCACTACAACTGGTCTGTTTGTTTCTCAGTTGTTCTGAATGTAGGGCATCTACAGACCTTTTTCTCATTAGGGCTGCTTTAAATTTATGTCACAATTCAGGTGAGAAAAAACACACACTACCCAGAAAAGCAATACAACCCAGGTGTGAGCTACTGCTGTGTGCCAGGATGCACTTCATAAACTCTTGACTTCTTGTCAGTGTATGTATGTTCACCATCTGAACAGTCTTTTTTTATTTTGGTTCTTTATATTGTTTAGTCTTGTTTCTGTGCAATGGGACACAGGTTCAACCAACTCAGGATATGAAGGCCAATGTTAAAGCGGAGAAGCATTTTCATTGCTTAGCCAAACAGCTGCACATCAAACCACATCATTTACATTGACCAATTTCACCCAGAGACAACACGTCTCAGTGTTTTGTTTTCCAACAGATCTAATTTCTTCAGCTATGAATAAGGAATATTGTCTAAACATTTTGAGAGAGTCCTGACAAGCCAGTTGGGGCTTTTCAGTGGAAAAGTGGCCAGTGAGCAGCAAGACTATCTGGGCTTCTCCCTGTCAGACTGACAGTCCTGTGTAAGCCCCCTTCACTATATGTCCCCCATCGTGATTAGCAGTGATTACTAGCCTGTTAGGTTGTTTTAGATCTCTCATGTGATCTGCAGCTCTGCAGTGTCTGGAAGCACTTCAGCAGACACACAAGCCCAGTGTTCAAACCTGGACTGAAGCAGGCACTCAGGAGAGACTGTGGTGCGTCTGTGAAAGAGAAGTTTCTTTTCTCATTCTTGGCATAACTGTCCAGTTCAAATTAGACTCGACTGGACTGGTGATTGTAGTGGATTAAGCCCCAGATACTGTATACATTCTTGACCGTGTATAGCGATGAGGGCAGGAATTGTAAAACACAAGCTGAAATAGTCAAATAACCCCACGACAGATAAAATAAACCGTGTTCAGAACTGATAATATCCAGTCTGCTTTAAGCATTTCAATGTTGTGAATTAGCTACTGTAAAAGCTGAATGTTTGACATGATGTAAACACAGTGAAATGTATAATAATATATATATATATATATATAGTTTGTACAATAAGCCAGAATGACAGTAAAGTAAGTGAACACCCATATGCTCCACAAGGAAATTTAGTAAAACAAACAAACAAATAAAGGTTATTGTACATATTTACAATAGGAGCCTTTTTTGTCTCACGTTCATGAGCCACTGCAGTGACTATGCTAAGAAATACACAACTCAAAAAAAATACACAAGTATTCAGACCACAATAGCAAACTCATGATTCTTCAATTTTGAAACTGAATTGTTCCCAAATGTGAGGAGGAAACTTTATTTTTTACATTCCGAAATGTCTTTTTCTCGTGTATTTCCTCGCTCCACCCTGGGGGTTATTTTAAAAGACTTACTGCATTGTCTTACATAAGGTGGCAAAGCTCCAAGTGTGTGTGGTGGTTAAGTGTTTCACAGAGCAGGACTGACATCAACTGTTGGAGGACAGACAATGAATGTGTTTACATACACAAAATGTACTCTGATATTACTGGGGAGACTCAAATATTTATTTTAGGAACTGGCATTTGTAAATGCCACATGTTGTTTACAATAATTGGGATAAACGTGAATATGACAGCTGAAATGAGCTGATGTTAACGGGATACTAAGCCATGTAAACATCTTACTCCATTTACTGGTCGGGTTTAGTCATCTGTGCCACCTCTTTTTCCTGGTACTATTAAGAATATTTAAAACTCATTCTCTGGACTGTAAATGGTTCTGGAAAAATAAAATCCCCACCAGGGGGTCTTTTTCAGAGATTTGTTGATGATGATGTAATTATGGAAAGGAAGCCAGTGGAGCCCGATGAAAATATGATCACCAAACACAAGAAAAATGCAGAAAAACATGCAGAATTCACCATTAACATACTGTAAAAACCAGACTCTTTAGATGTTTTTTTAGGTTTGATTGTGTAGAAAATGAATACTAACATTAACTTAGTAGAATAATATAGCTAGTCACATTGATTTGTAACTTGACACAAAATTACACATAGAACAACAATGTGACACAAGATATGTGTTAAACCATGGCATTCATTCATTGTGGTTTGAACTTAAAACTGCATTAATCAATATTTTTTATATATCAACATTAAGGGGACCCTCTTACAGACTAACCCTCAGAGAATTATCACCCAACTCTGCAGCAGTTACTCTTTTTATGTCACATTTACTATATAGTTTGGTCTCAGCACTCTCATCAAGCTGTTTTCAACAAATAAGCTATGAAAAAACCGACTATATGCTAGTAAATTGCTGGTGAACATGCAGGTGCTAAAGAACCAGATTTATTTCCCTCAGGAGTTGGTGGAGACCAAAAATGGAGCTAAAAAGACAGTATGTGTTGAACTTGGGATGATGTTTCACTGTGTTAGCTAGATCTGTAAAGAGGAAACGTATTTCTAAAATGTTAGCCATAACAAGGTTGTGAGGCAATAATAGTCCAGGGCTGTGTCTCTGGTTTTGGAATGCCTCTGCCCTCTAGTGGTCAAACATTCATTAATGCAGCTTTAATATGTCCATACGACCACAAGCATGTAGAAATGTTTTACCTGCTGGGTGCTACAGTGTTAAGCTGCATTAGTATACTTCCAAGACTGTGTATGTACTGTACCAGTGTTGGGCTAGATGCATGACTTTAAAAGTACTCATATTACCGTATTAGCTGCTACACATTTTTCAATTCTCACAATCTGTTACTGTTTTCTTTTGACTTTATTTTTTCTTCACTATAATTATTTCATGTTTTGTTAGCACAAACTTTATAAAAAAGTAGAAAAACAATTAAAACGTCAACCCCATCTTGTGCAGACAATGTGCTAATAAACTACATACAACATTGCATCTTGCATTGGTTTTGGGTCATACAAAAAGTACACCATTAAGTAACGTTGTGGTAAGCGAGTAAAGTAATGACTTACATACAGCTAGCTTTCTCACAACACTGGTACGTACTGAACAAAAACCAGACATAGCACATCTCGGACATTGTTCAAAAAAGATTGGATTCTTAAGCCAATATGTTAATGTAGCTAGAAAGTTCTGTACAGTGCAAGGGGATTCATACAGCTAGTTATGTGCTGATAAATTAGACTTCATTGTCACAGTTTAATTCTAATACATGCCGTTCACTTAATATTGCCTGCTCACATACAACATTACACATTCGTTTAAATTGGTCTACTTTGCCATAGCTCTTCCTTTTTGAGTTTGTCTTTACCAAGCAACATTTGGGCTGATTGTGACTCACTGTAAGCTCTTCTGTAGTGAGTAACCACTGGCCTGTGTGCTGCTATGTGTAACAGGGGAAATGTAAGTTGAATTTAATAGCCACAAAATGTGTGTTAGTGCCTGTTCCCGTTATCTGAGGACAGAACAAACCACAACAGCAGACTAAACACAAAGGGAAATGTGGTGACATACACATCTTCCAGTGGTGAGTCATCTTTTTACAAATATATTCTCATTCTTACCTAGACCTTTTCAGTCAATTCAAGAGAAAAAAAAAAAACACGTACGAACAGATAAAATGTCAAACATAGGGAGGAGAAAGTGCAAATATTTTGGCGCCGCTTCGTTTTCTTTTCTTGTTTTTCTGTTCATTTTTTTGAAACTCAGGAACTTCTTAATTTTTCTGCTCCATCCTTCTCTTTCCTGTCAGCAAGCGTACAGATGCCTTCCCTCTGTGCCCTCTGCTCTCGTCTCAGCTTCTGGATCCTTCTCTTCTCACACCAGACGACCTACTGAGAACAGACAGACAGACAGACAGACAGACAGACAGACAAACAGAGAGACAGACAGGGAAGGAGGAAGGGAAAAAAAGAAAATGTATTCACTCATCTGTTTCAGTGTCCAGCATGCAAATACGCTCACACGAAGCTGTTGCGTGACAAAAGACAATGGCATGGCTCAACAGGCAGAGGCTCACCTAGACGGACTCACACACACAATTTAAATCTAGAATACAGTTTAATAAAATTGTTATTAGGGATGGATGTTGCGTTGCTGAATGACCATGCATAAAGCAGATCCAACCTCTGAAGCTGATAACTTTTCCTTTTAAAACCCTGTCGCCTTTCCTTCACGTCTCACCAGCATCAAGTCAGTCAGTTAAACGATCAAACAAACTCCACTGCAAACTGTGATTTTTAGTTTAGCTTAGAACCAAAAATAAATGACCTACCTTTTAAATTTTGTATTTATATTTGCGTTTCTTTTTTCTATCTCTATAATACTTGTGTGTTGTCCATGACCATTTTAAAATGCAAAGTAAAGCAACATTTCATTGACATTTTTCACTTTTTCTTTACCATCTGTTTTTCTTCAGTCAACAAAAAGTCAGTGATCCCGTGAAGCAGGGATAAAGTCAGAGGTTACTAACTAAAGATTGACTGCTAAGCAGCTGTACCCCACCTACAACCGAACGCTCCCTACGCACCATCACATGCGCTGACGTTATGTTACAACCGAGCTATAACTCAACACTCTCTGAAGTTGTGTTGCATTCGATTTGTGTTGAAACTGCATCAGACAGTCAATGTGCTGCACAAGGGATGGACTGCTCACTCATCAATCAGATGAGTGGGTGGGGGTGGGGGCGGAGAGAGAGAGCGAGTGAGAGAGCGAGAAAGAAAGAAGGAAAGGCCTGGGAGAAAAGGAGATGGGTAAAGAGCTTAGATTGCTTACAGATGGCTGTCAAAGGGGAGCAGAGGTCCTCCTGAGCCCTGTGAGAGCTCAGCCTGTGTGAATGTCTGTGTGTGTTTGCATGTCTGTTTCATCTATCTGTATGTTGTGTGTGTGTGTGTGTGTGTGTGTGTGTGTGTGTGTGTGTGTGTGCGCTCGCATTAGGTAGGTGTACATGCAGTGTGTGTGTGTGTGTCTAGACTCTGCTGGCCTACAGGGTGTGTGTGTGGGGGTGGGGAGGTGCAGGTGCACTCTCTGTCAGTGCTGATTATGTTAGCCATGAAATAGAAGTCCAGCTGATTTCCCTGCGCACTCTGGAAGCTCCTGTAGTCTCAGACGATGCATTTGTATTTTGTTCGAACTTTAAAGCATCACAATCTCTCCAGTATGCAATAAATCACATGTTACCTTCCATATGAGAAAGCCCTGTAGAGGCTGCTTTCTCCTATACTTTAAGTGTACAAAATAAAACATTATGGCTACCTATTTCTACCATGACTAGTTGGATCCAGGTGACTGCTGTTTGCTGTTTAAACTGTGACATTTTTATGTAAATAAATGTCAATTTTGTTACTGCCACAAAAACACCACTCTGAATCAACTTGTATCCACTTAGCTCATAAAATATGTTCCTTTATATACTTTAAACACAAACTGAAAAAAGAAAACTCTGCACAATAAGTGATGTGGCTTACATCACCAACCACCACAACAACAATTTTGGCATAGAGTACTTAAAGAAAGCAGTATCTAAAACACATTGAGTTACCTCTTGGAAATGATGTTCAAAGAAACAATGTGCAAATGTTTTATGTAATATAGCCTTGATTAATAAATTAAAAGTTTTAAAAGTTAAAAGTTAAAATCAGAAAATGTGACTGGATGGCACTGAAGGAAAGCTCTTACAGTGTCCAAATGGACAGGGTTCATCCTCTGAGGAACATGATACTCAATTTAAATTTGGATGTTTCTTATGTACAAATATAAATAAATAAATGTTCTTATGTAGTTTGTTTGGTTTGGGTATTGTCATCCTTGCGTCTGGCAACCAGTTAAGCAAAAATCAGGATATAAAGAAATCAACAAGAGATATTTGAATGGATTTCAAGTAAAGATGGTGCAACTCTGTAACAAGAATTGTAGTATTTTGTACATTCAGTGTCATAAACCCTTTACCTTGGCACCATTAGTATCATGTTCTCACTGTTAAACTATGCAGTACCACAATATTTGCTGATATCTCTTTTCCGGTGAAGTCATGTCGTTCCACTCTTTAGCTCAGATAAATGTCTCTGTTGTAAGGAGCTGAGCTACAGTAGTGCTGATGAATCGGCTTTGCAATTACCAGGCTCCAGAGCAGCGAATGGTCCTCTCCCTCCTCTCCTCCCAGTCACTGAGGACACTGTCTGTGCCATTAACAACACAAAGCTCCCTGGCCTCTCCCTGGACACCTTGGCCCCACTTGTGATAAAGAGCTGAAAGCAGATCCTGTCTAGTAGTGAATCGCCGCGCCTCACCTGGGACCAGCCAATAAAGACACTTGGCTCAAGAGCTGGGAATCATGGTATACGTGTACATGGTGGCAACTGGGGAAAGGGACTGAGTTTACTGTCAGCCCTTGATATAAGGATTTTTTGTAGCAAACTCATCACCAGAGTAACAGGTAGTGATAGTGGGCATAGCAATGCTTATCTGTCATAGTCCTCTCTGTTGACCTCTGTTACCTTTAACACAGTACAGTGTGTCGAGCTGATGTCACAGTAATTAAAACACAAGTGGTGTGGAGTAATTGCTGTTGGCTCTGAGAGGACGGGGGTCTGGGCTCTCTAATGGTCCTGCAGCCTCTGTGCCAGGCCTGCCTCATAATGCCCTCCTTTCATTCCTGCCTAATGACGGACACAGCCAGGACAAACAGGAGAGGAAGAGAGGAGAGAGCAGGAAAGGAGACGAGAACAGCAGACAGGATACAAAAAAAAAAAAAAACACAAAAAGCATGTGTGCACTTCTGACTGTTTTTGTCAACGCAAACCTCACCTGCAGAACCAAGCAGGAAGTTTAAAATGGCCTTTGTCAGGTGAAATCAGCCCACAAATACCTCCAGTAAAGAGGCAACAATATTCCTTCTTATCATCATCGTCATCTGTACTTAATGACACCAGATTTATAATTATATGATCATAAAGTATCTATAAACCAACTTTTGACTGTAAATATCTATAAGAAAAGTCAAAATATTTATTCCCTCTTCTTCCTGTCCTCATATGTTGTTCAAATTCTAATTGGATTCTCAAACCAGAACAGAGCTAGTTTCTCCTTTTACAATCCACTATACTATCTACCCTCCATTATGTACATGCTGTATCTTCGTGCTGCTGTCACCACCATTAAACTACTTGGATGCCATTTACCACAGTGCCAGTCAGTTCATTACTCAAGAACGCTCACCGCTGTGAGTTAAACGAAAAGGTTAGATGTTCACCACTGACATCTAGAAGGCATCAGCATACCTGTGTTTCATTTATAAGGCCTGGCTATCTATGCTGCTGAGATATTCAAGAGCCTTAGTGGAGTTCAAAGTGAACAACCTTGACACCAGATCAGAGGATAGGTTGGCTTTAAAAGTTCCTCATGCCAACTTTAAACTGGGGAGGACTGGTTTTTGGTACTATGCACTTCACTTTGCTGGAAGAAACTGATGCTCATTCCTCTGAGGGAGATCTACTTACTGATGTATATATGATGACTGCTGCGTGGGTTCTTGTTGTGATGTGGTAAATAGTGTGTAAAATGTGAAAGACATTAAGACTTGATCTTAATGTGATTTCCTGAATAACTAAATACATTTGTGACACAAAGTTTAGGAATAGCCAACATTTCTATCATCCACCAGCAACAGATCCAGTGGCTACAAGAGCAGTAGTCCATTACTGTCCATTATTAAACCTTCTATATAAATGACTTGTAGGTGACGATGCGACTAAAGTGCATACAGTAGCAGCACTGATTAGGAGATTCTAGGCTGATACCGATGTTTAAAATAACAATTCTGCTGATTGTTTTTTGTTGTTATTTATTCACCATTTTGTGCCAGGGAAAGAATCTACAAAGATAAGCATCTCTGCCTTGTTGCAGCTCAGTCTATTTCTCTTCTTATCCAAGATGTGAGACGCAGAGCTGAACAGCCGCTCACTGTCCATGCTGGTGCATGGAGCATATCGGTATTTGAATGCAATTTGTACCAATGCTGCAAAACAGAGGTGATATTATAAGCTGGAATTAACCAACACGACATTTACCTAAACGCCCAAAAAACAACAGATAAATATCGACCACTGACATCGAAGAATGCCATCTTATTTCCCAATAGGCCGATGTCAGTCAACAAGGCAAATATCGTTGCATGCTAATGTTTGACCGATAAATCGATGCATCCCTAGCTGCAGGAAAAATTCCCAGCTATTTATGCTCAACAACAGTGGATGCATTCTGAAAACTCAAAGCTTTGTAAGCGCTCACAACAATAGATCCTTTAATATCTTATAATTGTGTGTGCCCATTTGATGTGTTTTTGTGCGTGCAAGCATTCATACATGCACACCCGCATGTGTTTGTACTTACTCAAACGTGTGTTTATGGCTTTCTAAATGGGATTAAGATTTTTGAAAAGAACATCATGAACCCTGCTGCCAGAACCCATTGCAACAAGTTTAACAGTGAAACATTTTTGTATTTCTGTTCATTACAGTGAGCGAGACATAATGCTGGGTCCCTCTGGACTACCAGACCTGCTGCTCATCTGACTGTGAGAAAGGTTTACAGAGAAAATCATCGCTCTGAGCTTCTGTTTCATATCTCATCTATAATGAGGTTTCCAGTCTCTTCAGACGATGGATGCCACCCTCTCCAGCACTTCAAAACTCACACAAGGTATTCAGATGTTTTCCTTTGCTGTTGCCAACGTGTCAAGAGCAAGGAGCCTCATACAGATGTGCTCCACTCTGCCCCACATGCTCGCAATCCTTCACCAAAAAGCACGTACTGTAAACTGTAAATATGTCCAACAACACTCCAGTGACGATCCAAAGCAGCGACAGAGCATGATAAGATTTAATGCCTGGCAAAGGCAGCTTGACTTAAAGGGATCCAGGCCATTGAGGATCAGCTAGGCATACCTGAACACAATGGCCGTCTATCTTAGTCAAGGCAGAATGCTGCCATATGTTCTCACAGATTCCTGCTTCTTTCATGCAGGGTTTCAATGTCTCTCTTTCTCTTCTTTAAATACCTCACTCTCTCAACAATCAGCTCAGAGTGCCTGAGTAGCAGCATAAGGAGCCGTATAAAGCTGTCAGGCCATTTACCTCCAGCTCTTAAGCATGAAGGTGAGAAATTCGGTGACCACAGCGAAAACAACCAACCGAGCCTCCTCCTCTGCTCTTCCAATACTGGGGGCTGTTTATCCTGGCAGCTGTGCCCAGGGTCCGAGAGGCCTGACGTTATGCCCGCTCCGAGCCACTGTTCTCCAGGCGCGGTGGGGCAGCGCCAGGGTAAACACATGACCTCAGTGCTATGTGGCGCTGAACCGGCCCAGTGGCCAGAGTCAACAGCACCAACGGGACCAATAATCGCTCAATGGGGAGAATCCCGACAGATCGAGAATAGAGACAGACTGAAAAGAGTGAGACAGACTAAAAGACAGAATGATGATTAGCAAAATATATAATCATTCCTTCCTTGGTTCTTCTTCAGACTTTTTTTATTTTATTTATTTTAGGAACGAGACAAAGATGTCACGGAAATTTTGAGCTGAATTAATTTGCTGATGGACCGAAAATTAATCTGTAACTATTTTAATAATCAATTACACATATAATTAATTTTTCAAGTAAAAAATGCCAAACATTGTCTGATTTCAGCTTGTCTGAAGTGAAGATTTTTTGTCTTGTATGAAGATAAAAACTAAATCTCTTTGGATTTCGACCTGATGGTCCAATAAAATAAGACATTTGACAATGACACCTTGAGCTTTAGATAACTATAATGGGCAAAAAACAAGTTCTATTTTTATGGTCATAACATGAGACGATATGTTACTCACTGAAAACAAAACCTCTCTCCAGCAGAACAGATGACAATACTCCATCCACACCACACATGACTGATGCGTTTCACCAATGTGCATGTTAATGGGTTACACAATAAGCCAACTATAGCACTCAAAGCCAGAGGCTGCCGGAGTTAGTGGAAGCGTATTAGTTTGCCTTACTGAACAATTTTGTCCCTTGCCTTGTCCCTTGGCTGCCACTTGTTGTTGAGCTACCTGTAAGAGAGAAAGTAACAAAGATTAAAGTTGATATTGGTGGATGTCTTGTTCTTAAGCCTCAAAAACCGAAAAAAGAAAAGAAAAGAATTATACTACACAGTGCAATTTGTATTATACAGTGTATCATTACATTTTAAGTTTACTTTTTCATTTATGTGTTAAATATGATCCACAACCTCTGGGAATAAACTTTATTTCACAAGTTTTTCTCTTGGCTGTATGACACTGGGGTTGTAGCTGGTAGCAGCTTCTCAACTGTAAGCTGCTTTGACAGTTGTTAATGATCTCTATTAGGACCAGTCTGTACACTCATGATGAGTAGTTTCAGTTTTCCGGCCCAGACAGCGTCTAGGATCCACTAATACATTAGTCTCGTCTAAATATTCATCAGCGTGTGCTAAGTGTAGCAGTGTACCTTATTTAGACTGCCAACACATCTGTTTGTCACATGCACCACAGTTACTTCATCCCTTCCTCTAAACAACTGACTCACTTGACTTTTTGAAACTATGACGTGATGAATATATTAATAAAAATCTAATGTGGGAATAAATGGAAATCATTCTGTGTCTCGTGGTTAACACTCGTATACTTTTAACAACACATGGAAAAATGAACATTTATTCTTGTAAATCCTCAATTTGATATTCTTATACAAGTTTTAATTTGTTTTTATTTTTGTTGACAGTAGCTGTTAAACTGCATTCAATCAGTTCTGCATGCCAAAGGGCATCTCTAAGTAGTTCTTGAAGGAAACAAGACTGTATATGCAGATCTTCCCAGCTGGCCTGAGGTTCATACCAGGGCCATGACCCTATTCTATGACCCTTTCACCCCACTCTCAACCGTCCTGTTTCCTCCCACCCAGTTTTTCCCCAGCTTCTCTTTTCCTCTTACCCTCCTTGCTGACGCCCAGGCAGCCTTTCAGCTCCTGCAGGGAAATGGCCCTGTCCTTATTCAGGTCACAGTAGTCGGTGAACTTGCGGGCACATTTCTTGGGTTTGGCTTTCTTCTTCAGGTACCTCTTGAACGGCTTGAGTTCCTTCTTGTTGATGTCGTGGCTGCCGTTGTTATCCAGCTGGGCGAAGTACCAGTGCACCACCCTCTCCTCTAAAGTGTGACTGGGATCAGGCTCCACAAACCTGGTTAGGATTAGAGGAACAGACAGGGTGAAAACATGGATGTTTCAAAACCTAGAATGATTTGCATAGAGGGAAGTTGCAAAAAAATAAATAAAAATCCTGTGCAGAAAAGGTGTGGATACTTTAGACAGTCTTGTTTTATGTCGTTTTATTTCAGCTCAGCTTGCAATAAGATTATTTAAAAGCTTTGCTTTGCAGAATGGATTTCTCTTTTCGGGACAGTGTGTACAACTTCAATCCAAATACCTTTCACTCCCATCATTGTATATAGTTTTAACATTGATGGGAAGTGAACAACAAACTCTGTCAATGTCTGTGCCAAGATCTGTGCATTGTCAGAGATAAAAAATATATGTGTTAAATACATAAAACCAGAAGGAAAGCTTGGTTGAGAAAAACCAAAAGGGATGAAAGTTTTCCATGAAGAATCAGTCATAAGGTATCGTGCTCAGGTAGAACTGTCTTCAGTAGTAAATGACACTACTTACCTCCCACCACCAGAGGGGGCTGGTGAGTTTATGGCTTGCACCATGTCTGTAGTGAGGGCATCTAACAAGCTTGTGATGAATTCCACTTTTTTTCCCTCTGGGCAGCCTGGCACAAATCAAAGACAAATATACAACAAAATTACCTTCCACAACTAATTTGAGTCATTACAGTACAGTGAAGCTGAAGTGCCTCTAAAAGCCTCCACACCAGCGAACCAGTATGACAGATGTCAAACGGAAAACGGCTGTTCCACAGAAAAATAAAGCTTGCAAACCTTGTTCAGAGCTTAATGACAAACCAGGTGTATCTGTTAACCGGCTTGTGTTCACAATTACTGGTGCATCATTATCAATATATTTTAAATAGAAGTGAAATACATAGTTTGGCTGTTTTGTAAGACTTCAGACAGCAGTGCTGAGGCACATGGTGAGAAGTGGAACAGAAGTGTGCGGTGATGAGAGAGTTTTGTTGAGCAGTGCAGACCTGTTAACTTTTATGACACAATTCTGAACACCTTGGGTAGCTCTCTTTAATTGCCCAGATGTATGGCTTTAATAGCATGCTAAACCAGTGCAAATTTTTCCCTCCTAATTGTGTCTCTTAAAGGGAAACTTCAAACGCAGCTGCATAGTAAACTAATCTTCTCATTCTTTTTTTTTTTTTTTTCAGTCTCTCCCTCTTTTGCTTGAGCTTTCTTACTCGATCCCCTTCTCCCCTTGTGGCCTCCTTGTTCTCTGCTCTGTTCTTGTCTTTTCATCCTTTTTGTGCCGGCTCAGTTCAGTTCTCCGCTGCCCCGCCAGGTGAATCCAATTAGCATTTCCTACGACACGACAGGCTCGGAGAAGCACTGCCTTGCTGTGCCTTAATCCAAGTGTTAAATTGGGGTGTTATGAAGTGCAAACCGTTATGTTGTATGCTGCCTATGTGGCAAGGTGTCAAGGGCACAGTGTGGTGCAGGACCTCTGGGCTCTGGGCCACTTGGATTTGATCTTGTTAATCTGAAGACTTTAAAACACACTAAAGCTGCATCAAACAAGACTGTTTCTCTAAAAATAGAGAAAAACTAAAATGAGCTAAAAATCACTGGTTCCCCTTTTTTGTGCTTTTAAACCATTAAAACAAAGCAATGTTCACCTGTGGCACATCTTTTGAAGAATTCACTTTTATAACCTTAAAGTAGTTTTAGTGCAGAAATCTTTCTTCTCAGTGTCTTCTACCTGAATTATCTTTAGGGTTATAAGGAGTTATAGCCATCCATTTCACATGAAAAAGGCAAATGTATAGAAAAGTCAGAAAATATATATATATATATATATTTATTTTATCCAATTAATCACTCAGCCACTCTGACCTTTGATGTTTCATAGATGCGGAACATTTAATTTGGGCCTTAGTCTGTGTCCACCACTGTACAAAGTGTAGCTTTAAGCATACAAAGTGATACTGTAATTCAGTCCTGGTCTTTATAGTAGCGCAGGAACAAATGTAAATGGAGTAATTTTCCTTCCTAAAAATACTACCTTAATGTTAGATTAAAAGTACAGTTCCTGAACTGGAGGTGAAGGTCTCCAGGGAAGAGCTCCTATGTGCTCTTTCTGACAGAGGTGGTATTGTGCCACACTGTGTACAGTGAGCTTGAACCTGTAGCTGCATGCTGTTAATAGACTGCCCTCTCAAGCATTCTTTTCTCTTCTTGCCTTGATGTGACGACCATGAAATATTGTGCTTTTGTTGTGGTGGTTCAGAACATCCCTCTACAGTACATAAAAATATCTCCACTCAGCACCCTGTGGTCTCCAACACCCCAGCAGCCCCCCACAGCCTCTGCACCACACCCCGCAACACTCACACCTTCCATAAAACATACCACACATCTGCTGCACAGTCAGGAGTCATGCTTGACTCTGTAAACTCACCAGATGGGGAATTAAATAAGAGTTACAATGCAACCTTAAATGATGGGGAAACAGAGGGGCAACAAAAGTAAGTGAGCAGTAACAAGGGCAGAGGAGTATGAGCCGAGGTTACGACCTCTGGTTTAGAGGAGAGTCTCTGATCTTTGCTGCTGGGGAATCCAACACCAAAGTGTGGTTTGGTTGATTCTTATTCAAAACCCTCAATGTGGTCAGTTGGCATTAAAGTGAGGATAAATATATTTCCTGAAACAAGTGAAAATAGACATCATTTTCAAGTCTCTGAGCTGCAGTGCTATTCATTTGCTGTTGTCCAAACCCCTCACCTGTACAGAGACTGTCCAATCAGAAGCTGTAACTAAGTACAGTGAGTCAAACTTTGGCTGAAGCTGTGTGCACAGAGCTGTAGTGACAGGCCAATGAGAACTTAGCAAACATTAATACTGTCTTGACTGTATTATATTTGTTATTAACATTTTAGAAAAGCAGCTGGACTCGCAAGATCACGAAATCAGAAGATCATGAGAGAATCCATCTTGCCAGGCCTCAATCTATACATTTGTGGCCATACTACATGGTACCCGACTAATCAGCGTCTTTCGAGGAAGTACTGGCAGCTAAGAGTTTGACTACGTTATGTGATCATTGATCTGAGTTCGCCCGTGACAGACAGCTGGTTCATCCAATCACCTGACATGTATTTTTTGAAAGTGCCTGTTTCCAACGACGACTTCCCACAGTTAGGTTATGTGAATATTTAAGCCCCTTCAATTATCAGAAATACAGTTTGACACAAGACAGTACATTGAATCTGAGAAAGTTTCTGCAATCCCAAGGCCAAGAATGAGTTGAACTGCTGTGAAAAGTGAAGAAAACCTGTCAGGTCTCTGCCTTGGAAGGGGTCTTCTATGTCTGAGATGCGAGATCGTGCAGTACCGTCACATTCTGGCGTCTGGTACCTGTTACACAGAAAGGAGAGGACAGTAGCAACATGGCTGCATGAGACAGAAACAAAAGAAGCTGATGAAGAAAAGAATAAACCCGTCTTAGCAATGTGTGACAAACCTGAGCCATCAAAGGAGAATCTAGGCCATGGTGACAATATTTGATCAGCCATACGATATAAAACAAAAATCAAACATTGCCTGGAATTAAAGACAAACACCACAAAAGATGTTCCTGTTTTTCTTCCAGGCCTCAGAATAATCTGATGTGGAGCAACCAGGAGATATTCTTGGTTTAGGACAAATATCTTTATCATCATTATGAAGACATGCACTCTCCCCCAATCTCTTCACTGCATGTGTTTGCACACATCCATTCTGTTATAGCTTCTTAAAACTAGAACCTATTGCTCGTTGGCTTTGATCTGTGTATTCACTGTTGAGCTTTAAAGAATTATTGACAGTGATTGACCTCCCTTTTTATAAACACATAATAAATACATTTGATTTGTCGTGCACAAAGCTTTGTTTCGGAGCCATAACAAACTGTTCGGCATTATGCGTGGCATGACTCGTTTTCTCCTGGCTATTGTATCAGCGGTTCTTGAATGAGATGGAAAATAGAGCATGTGTGTCTCATTTGGCTTTTTTTTCTCTTTCTTTTTTTAAGTAAGTTGTCATTTCTTTCTTCACAGTCTGCAGGGCGTCTGATCCAAGATGGGATGTCTGATGCATGACTCTGCGCATTGCCGTCCAGAGGAAAGAAACTGGGATGAGTGACATGAGGTCTAGTCCAAAATACATGAAATTCTTACGTGAGGAAAATCGCCTCAAGGCTGTCATTTAATATCTCTGTAATGCAGATGAGAATTTGGGCTGTGTAAGTTTTGCTACTATGCGTGTGATTTATTTGAGGGTTTTCATGGCTGTTAAATACACTGGTATCACATTGATTTGAAACTACACCTGCGTTATCCTGTATTCAAATACTAGCAAGACCAAAAATAACTTTTTCTGATAGAAAAAAAACGTCCTGTACCTCCTCCTGTAAAACATAAACCATCTTGTGGAGAGAGAATGATGATGCCCTTTCATGAACAAAAACAACTCATCTATTTACTGGCGCATGCTTAAAGTTTTCAACATCCACTCTCTTTCCCTTTATCTAGTGCTGAGTTTCAAGTTGTAATATTCACGTTCTAGATACAAATCATGAAAAGTTTTTAAACAACCAAAACATGATCAATGGGCATCATTTATTTAACATTTTTCTGTTGCCTCGTCTCCGTCCCTGTGACATACAGCTCTTGAAAAATCCCATTGTGCCTCCGCCATTTCCCTGAAAGCAATATAAACAGCAGCAACTGCACTAAAAACAAACGTCATACCACTGAATGTTTATGGCTGGCTAAATGATATTCCCATCACGGCTTGAAGATAATTATTTTGCAGAGTGAACCGGCAGCAGCAGTTTGGGTCCAGAATTCCTCAAAAAAAAAAAAAGAAGTAAGGTCTACGAGTCTAGCCATGAGCTCTAGGTATGACTCTGTCGGTCGGTCGGGCCAGACTGAGATACATCAACAACTACTTGATGGATTGCTATGAACTTGTGTACAGATATCTGTGCTGGCCAGAAGATGAATCCTAATTACTTTGGATTCCTTGACTTCTCTTCTAAGTCTTCTCCTCCAATATGTCTCAACATCTACTGTGCAGTACTTAATATTGGTACAGACATTTATGGTTCCCTGAGGATGAATCTGAAGACTTTGGTGATCCTTTGACTTTTCAACTGGTGCCACCATCAGGTTCACATTTGTGGTTTTGAGTGAAATGTTTCTTGGATGGATTGCCATTAAATTCTGCACAGACATTCATATCCCCCTCAGGTTAAATTCTAATACCTTTGGTGATCTCTAAGCATTTCATCTAGCACCATTATAAAGTCTGAATGCCATAGTAGCTTAATAAAAAACTGGGTTAAGTGCTTCTTCTGATAGCGGATATTACCTGGTGGAGGTTCCAGGAATAGGCCGTCCCGTGTCCACCAGAACACACCAGCAGTAGCCTGTGGACTGGTGGCACTGGACCGGTTTGTAAAGGCCTCCAGGCCCACAGTCAGGGATGAAAATGGCATCCCGAGGATTCTGCCGAGCCTCATCCAGTGCGCTCTGTCGCTCCTGGTCACAAGAGGGAACTTTCTCTAAAACCATGAGAAACACACTCAATACAGACGCACCACAATTGGGGAAACCAGAAACACACACACACACACAAAAAAGTCTGTCACAAGATTAATGGGGGTGGCGTACATCAGGATAGGATGAAAGACCACCCGGATATCAACATACATAAAACTGATTCAGGATAATAATGATCATGTCACAGCTTTACAGTTTAGCAAAGTATTAAAGCATTTACAGTGGCATGCCGCCACGTGTTGTACTTGGAGTAAGTTACTATTTGGAGGCAGGTTGCCCAACATCGTGTTGGCTGTCAATCAACCAAATTCAGTTGTGATTGGCCGGCTACTGGTCGGTAGAAAGTGCAGTCTCTATACCCTTTTGCATTCTTCATGTCACTTTATAGACCAACTGTTGCACGTATTTATACACTTTCTGTTTTTGTTGCTGACTTGGGGATCATGTCTGTTATTAAAGCACTGTATGTGGTCAGAAGATTTATGTACTGATTTATGTAGGGCTGAGTTGTGATAGTAGAACAGGATTGCAAGGGTTTGCATTCAGCAGGTAGCTGCTGTTCAAAAGTTTTGAGAGTTGGTGTTCACTCTTGCTTCAGGATAACTTTAATACTACTTCTTCCCATGGGCATATGGCCTGTGATGCAACTGGAAATCAGACATGAGTCACCACATTGTTAAACCATGTAGAATTTGTCAGGAGTGTTTTCCTTACATCTGGACAAAGTTATAAACTTACTATATTTTTTAGCATTAAAGTTCATTAGTGGCCTTGGAAATACTGTAGTACTTTGACAAGAAGAATCGTAACTCATAAGGTCCACTTACTTAAAAAGCTACAACCATATAAAACCACCTGACGCATAATGAGAACTGAACCATTTCTATGTAAACTAAGAGAACAGTATCTGCTTATGAAGACTGTAGGATGTAGTGGATCTTGCTTGAAGATTTTTTAAAGATCAACCAAGGTAGATTGTCTTCTGAAGACTAGACTTTAAGTTCTTTCAGAAACCTTTATTGCAGCACTCTTAAACCAAAACCTTTAGTCCTTCCTCAGGTTGTATTAGAAAGTCTTAACCCAGCACAATCTCTCATATCTGTCGTATATTCAACAACAGCCGCTGCAACACCTTGTCCCACCGCACTGTATTTACATTCACATCCATTTAGTCCATTGCTCACTCTTAAGCCAAGTACAACAGAGCAGCATGCTAAACTTGTTACCATGGCGATGAAGTGTGCTTTTACCACTCCTGATCCATTCTTCCTTTGACATTCAAGTGCGCTATGAAGCTACTGAGCTACAATAAGAGGGCACGCTAACCGTTCGGAGCCCTTTTCTTCAGCGTGGTGACGACATATTTTCACATTGTGGAGCTGATTAGTGCCACAGCAGTGCTGGTAGTCTCAGCTCGCACAGTTCCAGTAACCAAAGGATAATTAAGACAATACGGCACAGTCACTGCCTGATTCAACGTCGGGAAAGGAGCTTGTGAAATTAGATCTGGGACAAAATTCTCAGTATATTCTCTACCCCACAACAGTGGTGGAAGGAGCATTCACATCCTTTACTTAAAATGGCTGTAATCAATATTCCTGTATTAAAATGAGATCTAATTACTTTTTTTCTGTGAAAGGTCACACCTCATCTGTAGGTTGAGTTTTAGTGTCAGGTTTAGCTCTTTGTTTTGGTTTTACAGCCTGTTCAGTCGCATCAACCTTGTTTCCAGGCGCGGCAAAGCCAGTACAAGCAAAATATCTATCAATGCAACAATTGTCTCAAAATGTTAACAATTTTTATGCTTTTTTACGTGAAAAAACGAGGCTTGATTTCTCATTCTCCAGTTTTTGCACACTATCTCTCTACCTTGCACTTCGTCTCCCTACCTAACACAGCATGTTGTGGCACATACAAGCACAGTGCTAACTGATTTCATAGTTGATTTTAAAACTTCAGTCTTTCCCTAACTGTCAATTTTGAGGAAAATTACAAGATTTCATGAAGAATGGGATAGATTAACAGTTTAAGAAGAGAAGAGATTTACTTATTTATTTCACAAAACATGACCTACAAACGTTAAACACAATAGTCCTCTGTCATCCTTCATGGTAGTATTAGGATGGAGATGACAGTGGTGGCAGGTCGAGGAGGATTGGAGGTGTGTGTGTTTGTATGTGTGTGTGTGTGTGTGTGTGTGTGTGTGTGTGTGTGTGTGTGTGTGTGAGGGGGTGTTCATGTTTCCTGAGCATGGCTGCCAACAGAGAACTAAACGTGTCCCTAAACTTTTTTTCCTGCGAAGACTCACACTCAAGTGTTCTTAGCGCTGTGCTGTGGCTCTGGTCCTTGCCAAGGCTCCTTCACATCCAAATTATTTAGCACTGTTTATTATACAGAGGTTATGCTGGCGCCAGGCGCTAGGATTCCCAAAAGAAAATTGTTTTTATACATATAAATGGAAAAAGGCTGGACGCTTGCAATGTAATCCTTTCAGTTTTGTATGGAGTTGAAATTCAATCTACAACATTTCGCCTGCCTTGCATTTCTGCTCTATTTATTTTTTATTTTTGTTTCCTTTTCAATTTTACTTCTCTTCCCCTGGAAGGAACAGAATGATGAGAAACACAAACCCTCAGAAAACAAATATTGTCCTGAAAAAAAGAAACCCACACAAGTGGATGTCAGGAACCATTGTAACAATTTGCTCGTTGTTGTGGTAATTTTTTCTTCAGGGCAAACTGATAATGGACAAAAGATGCAGTATCTTTGATGAGAACAGGCTTGTCCCATTTTATGCCTTTTACTTTGGCCCTCGTCCTCCGGGCTCCGAACCAATTGAAACTATTTTTAAATCATCTTCTCTTTCCCTGATTTCTCTTTCTCTTACTTTATCATATATTTTATCACTCTTCCCTCCCACCTCTCTAGTGCCTTTGTCGCTCATTCTTTCACTTTTCTTTCTCTCTCTGCATTCTCTCTCTCTCTCCAAATACCTCCCTCTCTGAACCTACCCCCACCCCACCCAGAGCTCTCTCCTCTTCGCTTCACTCCAATGGCTTTCAGCTGTGGGGTAATCACTGCAATATTGTCTCTAGCAAGCCTTCTCTGCAGTTAAAATACCGGAAATGTTAGTAATAGGGGAACTCTGTGAGTAGGTATGTAGGTGCATGTGTGTGTGTTTATTAGGTAGAGTGCAACAAAACTAAAGATGAAGGAGAGTTTGCTTATAAAACGCATATGTAATTTTCGACAATTGTGCTTTTCAACACGTCATTCGTTAGCATGTGCAGTCGTTATGCGTTACTGTCAGCGCTTATTGTGCTTAAAAGTCAAAAACACAAGTGCATGCTGCCTTAAACTAGAAAATAGGGTTGATAGAAACAAAATCTCCTTTGAAACTGCACATTTTTATACAAAATCATGCTTTTACTTGACATGATCGCATTATATCCCTTCAGCATTTTGTTTTTCATTTGTTTGCCTCGCCAAGTGGCGGTTAGCGGGTTTCTGGTTCTTTGCACACTTTTATAAATGAGCTGCATGACAGAGCGCTTCCCCCTCCTTACAACATTGGAACAACAGCATGTCAGAGTCTGGCAACAAAGAATCATTCTGAAGAATGGACTTTGCATTGCTTTGCCTAAGCAAACACGTTTCACTAACACAATCTCCACATCTCTCTCAATCATAATTATGGGGTATCCAGAGACACGGAGCCAGTAAATGAATAAAGTAGTTTATGGAGAGCTGCTTTCTGAGCACGTAGGGAGTGAAAGACAAAGAGGTTCTGATACTGAGGAGTTTAAATATTGAGGATTTGTTGCACCAAATCTCTACTTTGGAACCGTTTTTGCGAGGAGAGAAAGAAAGAAAGCAATGTCTGTGTAATTATCTCGGACTATCTCTCCAGCTGTCTGCTTCCAGCCTCCGACTCTTTGGATTTGGGCCTAAAATACTGGCATCTATCAAGGGAATGAAGCAAACTGCCTTCCCAATAACACAGCATACACACAAAAGCACACACTAGTGATGGAAGAAGTATTCAAATCCTTTGCTAACGTAAAAAATAAATTCCAGGTTAAAAGCCAAAGTCCTGCTTTTAAAAGTTTACCTAAAGGTCCAGTGTGTATCATTTAGGGAGGCTCTATTGGCATAAATGTTACATTTTTAGAATGAGCTTTTTTTTATCAACAGACGCTGTGGGTCCCCTTCCATGGCTTCAATTTCTACCTCACACTTGGAAATATTGAAAAGAGAGCGCAATGAGTCAGTTGTAATCTGCAACTACACTGCTAGATTCCACTTAACTCTACAAACTGGTCCTTTAAGTAAAAGTAACTGCAACTAACCTAATCTGACGATTATTTTCTGTCAATCGACTGACCGACTAATCTAGAAATTGTTTCAACTCTAATTGAATGTACTCGAGTATCAGAGGTCAGTGTAGTGGCTGTGAAGAAGAGTTGGGTGAACGGGAAGGTTTTCAGATTTAGTTTTACAGTCAGTTGAGGATGCAAAGAAACAAAATAGGCAGGTAGAGCAGGAAAGGAAGGACAAAAATAATGAGTTCATCTTCTGTTGGATGTAAAATGTGAATATTTGAACTAAATACTGTAGTCACTACAGGTATCATGTAAATATAGTGAAGTAAAAAGTACAATATTTCTTTCTAAAACGTTGTGGAGAAAAAATTCTCCCAAAGTATAAGAACAGCTGTGCTAGTACAGTATTAGTACTTTGTTACTTCCCATCATTTTCATGAAACACATACACATACAGTACTGTATGCAATCACATACAGATGCAGTCCCAGACACACACATCGCTCATGTCTCAACCGTGATGACATCTCCCCCTCAGACGGCCTTGTCGCGTGTACTTTGAGGACACCGGATGCTAATTGGAAACAGGAAGCTGGTGTTTCCACAGAGGTTTCAAAGAGCTGTCACAGTTAATATTTCTCATCTAAAATACATCCTCGATGCTGCCCTGACCACAGTTTCCCCTGCCGCATTTCCATCATTCGAAATACTAAGAAACATTTTACAATCAACTGTTGGTGTGCTCTACTGTGTGGGAAAGAGCTAACTTTGCATCCTAATATATAATATGTAGACATTTAATATGTTTCTTCAAAATATTAATAAATGTAGATGGAAAAGCACTCAAAAAATCTACACTTTACAGTTTGTTTTTAAAGGCTGACCCTGCCAACAATGACTCATCTGTGGTAATTTATCTATTTTGATCATAACGTTTTGTTGCTGGGCACAAAAAGTTTGACAATCTATTTAAATGAATCTGGTAACTTTGAAAAACCTGTGTATTTTCAGCAAAATCTAAATTGATTAGCCTTAACTATGGGACAAAAGTCTCTAGAAGACATTGCCAAACATTACTAGAGCAAAGCAAAACTGAACAATAACACGAATACATCAAGAGGTTCAAATCAAAAAATGAAATGCACACCCTGCAGACTACTTAATAAAAGCCAAGCACCAGTCCCATATATCAGCTAACCAATATATCCATCCAACCCTAACACACACATCCACAGACGCACACTGAGCCCCCACCACATTCATTATTGACTTGCTGCAGAAGCGTGAAAGCCGCCCGGCTGCCCAGAGGGTAGTGAACATGTCGAGGCGTAATTGAAAAGGAGACAGAGAAAGCTAAACAAATTACACCAAAGGAAAGAAACCAAGAAATATAATCCCGGCATTGAAGGGCTGTCTTCAAACTGGAAAGGTTTTACATTTAAAGTAGTGGCTTTGAAACCAGTTACGTTGATACTTTCAGAGTGTTCACAGTATTTAAGGTTTGAGCTACTTCTCTGGTATAGTTTTTGTAGTCATCTTAAGATCATTATGTGGCTAATAATTGTGTCCTGAAAACATTGGTGGGTGATATTTGAGTAAAGGGTTGTACTGGGAGCAGATGTGGATTTATTAGTGATATAATCCCTCACTGTCTTCCCAGAAACAAAAACTGCCACTTGTGTGTGATACAGCTCTGCCTTGACTGTCATTGTAAACATTAAGTGTTAATTTACTGTACATATCACGAACAAATACATGTGTTAGTTCTCAGAATGAGGATGTCTCTTTGTCTCACCTTGCTTCCTGGAAGTGGAGCTGTTCTGCTTATTCTCCTTATAAACCAGCTGTTTTATCCACAGCGTTGGAGCAGTAATCTCTGCAATGACAGTAAGACAGAGCGATGATGATCTCAACTAAGCTTTATTTGACCTCATCAGCCGTGCCGTATCCACCAGTAGCTGCATATTTCATAACATTTGCACAGCCAAGCTTTGCCCACAAAAACCAAAATGAAAATTGCAGCCAAGATCCCCGTACTTCCAAAACTATCAAATTTGTCATCTGGTATTTTTTTGACAGCAAAGTTTTCCATTTGATATGATGGTGCATTCTTAAGAAATTACATCTTGAGTTTGAATATTAAAAGTTTGACACAAGTTTGGGGATCAAGAGCTTAAAAGTACACAAAAGAGAAATCTTGTGAGCTGCATTTTAACTCAAGGTGGTTGGTATGAATACATACTATGCACCTTAGCTAACTGCACTAAGTGACCATCTTAACCTCATGTTACAGGAGTAGTAAGAGGAGACTTACCATCACCCTCAGGGGGGACATGAGTCTCCATGGTGGGCGTGGGCTTGGAGCCATCATCTGGGTTTAGGGTGAGAAAGAAACGGAAAGAGACTACCATTATTGAGGTTAATACAATCTACTCTCCAGAACTGTTGAATGGTTGGGATTTGCACATGGCCCGGCCAAGACAGATAGAAAAACAGACAGACAGACAGATTGAATAATAGAAAAACAGAGGACGACCACCCACATGTGGCTCTACATCTCTCACATACACACCAATAAATCAACTCCTCACACTGACATTCTCGCACCAACATGATCAAGCTGCACATTTATCACACTCCCTCACAAGTGCACTGTAAACCACACACACATACATACACTCACATGAGGAGACCCCCCCCACTCCCCTCCCATCAGGACCCGCATGAGTGCAGTGCAGGTGTAGTATGTGTTGATAGGCACAGAAAGGCCCACCCACAACTAATCCAAACACAGAAATGAGGGGACCTCTGAACAAATGAAGGGACGTGAACTTCATCATTCTTGATTGTCAAAATAAGATTTCTCCCACTAAGGATACCGATGTTGGTTCATTCAGCCGGCCAATTGTTTGCGACTTCCAAATCGCTGGTACAATCTCAGCAAGTCACCAGGATGCGTTGAAATTTGGCAGCGATCGTTTCCTGAAGATAATTTCAAATTACTTTGGGGATGGTCTGACCGTTATTCTAGTTCCTGCGTCACATCAAAAATTGTCCTTGAGCCACACCTCGATCCATGAGAAGGACATCGCAGCAACAGACGTCCAGACTTTGCCGAAATTTGTTGTGGATAGGTCCGTCTGATCTTTCCTCTACTCCCACAATCTATCAGTTCTATCCATACTTTATTCCTGCATTGTACTGAGAAATATAAAAACATGCATTCTCTCTAGCAGATAAAAACTTTAGGATTTAATGACCCCATGGCCTTTGCTGTCGCATCACCATATAAACGTGAGTGTGCATAATAAGGGATTTTGACTAACACGTATTCTAGCAGTACGTTTAATACATACTGTATTAAACGTACTGCTAGAATACGGTTCTCAGTTGGATCATGTAAACCACATGGCAAACTAACAACCAGTAGCATTATTAAAGATCACTGTATCACCATATTACAACTATTCATTACAATTAAACTTTGCGAAAACTCAATTTTTGGTTACTTGGCTCCCAAGCTGAAGGCTGAATAAACTGTCAAACCCTTTCTTTCATCCTCAGTAAAACACTGAGAAAAAACATTAGAATCAGTAAGTATTTCAAATTACTCTTTATAAATGTCCTAATTTTGGCAACAAAAACTTGTTTATTATTGTTATTTTTAAGTGATGTTTGGTTAATCTTTAAATCAAACTATGTCACTATTTTAGATAAAACGATCTGGTTTTAAAGTATATGAATCAGGATTATCACTATCCTAACATCTAGCCACATCTACAATACTGTGTGACAAAGATTTACTATATTCACTATCAAAGTTGACTGGACAAAATCTAAAAATGTTTTCAGTCAGATGTGTGGAAAATGCCCCAAACGTCACATTTTACATTAATGCATGGGTTAAAAAATATATTCAGGAGTCAATGTCCTGTGTAAGAAACTGATAAGTTGTAATGGACCTTAGATAATGCTGTGAATTCAGTTACCTAGAATACTCACCAGTGTGCAGTTTTGTAGCATCTGGAACACTCCTTAGGAAATAATTCAATCAACAGCAAACCACAGAGAACCGTAGAATGACTTTCTATAAACACTACAGTAAGTCCTTAAATCAGATGGCTTGTCAGCAAATTGGAACACTTGAGGTCAAACTGACCTGATCTGGTCAAACTGTAAATAAAATACAATGGTTACTCGGTTGGTCTCAGACAAGTGCAAACCTGGGTCAAACAACCTCCTGCAGATATGCTACAGATTTCTTTTTGACAACTTTCTCCATGTAAAACACACTGATGATGCATGTTGAAACAAATTCTGTAACTTGCAGTATTTGTCAATAACTGTCATGCTAACATGCCAAAGAAAAAACTGCTAGTTTAAGATGTAATATGTAACTATAAAGACCATTATCATCTAAATCCTCTTAAAGTTACAAGTGAAACGTCAATGTACCGTTCTGCTCTGCACAAATATGGACCTTGCACAGATCAGATGGAAAAAAATCAGGTCAAAAGACATTTTGAACTTGTGCTCTCTTTCTGTCTCTTTCATACAAATACAAGCACTGACACATGCACACACAACCTACAGCAGATCTCAACTCACCTTTTCTACCAGAGTTCGGTGGCCCGGGTGGTTTATCGGTTACTGACCCTGTAAAGGAAAAAGACATAACATGTACAAAACAAAGACCAGACAGCAGCAACAGCTCCTCGAGAACATTCAAAGAATTTCATTCCAAAATTCTGTTTATCCATTTTAGAAACAAAAGAACAAAATAGAAGAATTTACCACCTTAGTGCAAATAAATTATTTTGCAAGAGCTTGAGTCTCTTAACAGCAATTGTAAGATTTAGAATTAAATTTGATTGTTCCAACATAACACACGCAACACAGGCCAACAGAAAAACATCACTCCCACTGATTACACAACCCACTGACGTACTGACTTAGAGTTAGACGCAGAGGTTTGTCAAAGTTTGATGAGTACATTCTGTTAGTTGATAGCAGGCACACATTGAAACATTAGGCTTGTTGCTTTATCTTAACACTGACTAATGCAAACCTGAGTGTGATTGTCACCTTCTGTGGAACATTATCAAAGAAATCAAGTTGTACATTTCCAAATAACATTCTCTTTGGTGCATGCAGGCAGTTGGTTTCATGCATGGATGCATGGTAGAAAAGAGCTTAATTAGAAAGTGCAACCAATTACAATAGAAGGGCAAAGGGGGGAAATTTTGAATGAAGGCAACTGGAAGGAAATTTACTACCTGACATTCCACTTGTCCCAGCATGAGTTCCCATAAATTCACGGAAGTTTCCTGCAAATGTATGTGAGATGATTGATTTGGGTCATAGTGTACACGGGCGTCTGAGCATGTCAGTAAAGGTTATTTGTTGTCAGCTGAGAGGAAAGGGAACGTAAGGGAAGGAGAGTTGGGCATGTACGACTGTAGCAGCTGTATACAGTATCAGGTTTATTGTGCCCAGATTCTGGTTCCAGTGTCATACATACCTTTGCAAGAAACAATGAAGATATCGGATCTTATGCAGGACAGACAGGTAGAGATTGTGCTTTAAACTACATTAAAGAATTTCATAAGGTGTTTACTTAAACCTGGACAACTGAACAGACTTCCTCCATTGAGTGCTGGTAGACACCAGATCTTTACAAGTTATTCTTTAATTATGCATGAGATAGGATTTTTTGTTTGGAATACAGCTGCAACTAATAATTATTTTCTTTATCAATTAATCTAAAAAACAGCCATCACAAGTTCACAGAGCCCAAAATGACGCCTTCAGATTAATTTCTGATATATATAACGAAGAAGAAAAGTTGCAAATCCTTGCATTTTAAGGAGCTTGAACCAGCAAACGTTCAGTTATCAAAATAGATTCAATTAATTATTTTCCTAAAAACTAACTGACAAATGGTTGCAGCAAACAACATAATTTGCATCCAGTGTCTTTGTGAGTTCTTGATGAGCAAATTTGAGCCTGGACTGTGTTTCATTTATTTAAACTTCAACGGAGCCATCACTAGATTGACTTACAGAGGTCAAGAAAATCTGTGTAGAGCATTGGCTTATAGTCTTTGTTTTTATAGTTCAAATCTGGTAAGTTTGACCTATTGCAAACCATCTCGACAGTAGTGACCTTTGAGCCGAAGAATCCCAAATGGAGGAAGCTAATGTTATCCTTGCCCTGCTGAAGTATGGTCTGCACAAAAGAGATACATCATAGTTTGAAGTCAGTTGTAAGACAAAAGTAGAATGAACTTTGTTAACTTGCTTCCAGCAGAGCACATAGACAAACCATAACGTTTTTGTTGTTGTTGTTTTTTAGTTTTTGTTAAATACCTGAACACACTAGGGTCCTGTTGTGCACAGAAGAGTCATCCTTAGATGCTCCAGAAAAATGTTCCTAACTGGTTCAGAAATAACAAAATAAGTTGAGCTTTGCTCTGAACTTCTACTACTAGTATGCATTCATAAATGGAAAAAGCAATGTGGTTTTCTAGTATGAATGGATGCATAACCATGCTCCTTTTGTGAACTTTACTGATTCTGTCATAGGACTGAAACACAGCAGGTGCCAAGGCAAACTATGCAGGTGATTAGTGGCACAAGTGGGAAATACAGAGAAAAGAGATGGCACGGAAGATTGAGACGGAGAGAGAGATAAAGAAATTGAGAGAGAAAAAGTGCAGAGAGCGGGAAGCCTCTGGCGGTCTGTGGAGTAGCTTCAGAGGGGCATGCGACCACTCTCACCACACTCTCCACACAAAATTTGCACCATATGCTCTAGTGGCTGTGCAATCCAATCCTGGCAAAGACCCATGTGTATTATCTTCTGAGGGAAAATGATGGTGATTATCATAAATGTTCCCATCCAGGATGAGTGTGCAGAACCCCGCTCCTCTCCTCCAGCCTGCTGAGAGCAGTTAGACAAGGGGGGGAGTGAGAGGGCCCGAGAGGCCCCTGGATGTATGGCCATTAGCCTTCTCATTGACCTCGCACCTGCTAAACACCACATGACATGTAATACACATGTGCCCACAGTGTGGCAAGACAGACTTTCTTTAACTGTAATCCAAAGGCTGCTTTCACTCATCAACACAGTCCAGTTTTCTTAAAGTCATTCATTTCAGATTCACTAATAATTGACTCAATTTAAGATCTTCCTCAAATGTACTGTACAGTACACTAATAGAACACATCCGTTCTCAATCTTTTCTTTGATGGGAAACTGAAGCCTATGAATAAAACATATTTCCAGTTGTTATTGAAGTCTGAAAAACATCTCATTCTTAAAGATGCTGAAAGTTAAATAGCCCAAACCCCATTGACTTGGCTTCCAAGCACTCTTGGCTCCAAGATCCTACAAATACAGCCACCATCGAACATTTTAAAGGCTTGTTACTGTATGCAGCTTCTCCACCCTTCTAAAGAATTGTTGGGAAACATCATACCTTTCTGCCGAAGCGTTAGTCATACAACCTGTTACACATTACTCTGAAGTAGAGCTGCACAAATGCACCAGGAATAACTCTAATCACTTATTTGCACAGAACTAAGGCAGGACAGATAAAAGCTGTGTTGGCAGCAGAGGCAGCAACCTTTTTACGGGACAAGCGTTTAAAGATTCTTTTGAAAAACTCTGGACATTTCATCCACAGGTTGCCAGGCTGGTTTCCCCCCAGTACCTGAACACACCGGGGTCCTGTTGTGCACAGAGGAGCCACTCACTGGCTTGCCGTCACTGGTGACACACCAGCAGTAACCTGTCAGAGTATGGCACTGGACCTGCGGAGGCAAAAAATGACAATAACTTTTTCATATACATGATTTTGTTAGTATATTTGAGTGTAAATACAGCGGAAGGTGAAGAGCACAGTCAGTGAAATTAAACTGATCCTTTGGGTGATGTGAAGGTAATGGTTCAAAGCAAGAGAACGATAAAGAGTGAAAAACTCAAAAAGAAATCTGTGGAGGTAGCGAGACGGACCTGGGCAAATGTTCCATCCTCGTTGCATTCTGGGATAAACATGGACTCCTGAGGTCTCCTGGCTTGTTCCAAAGCCTGGTTCCTTTCAACACGACACTTGGACTGACCTGCATCTGTAACAGATTGACAGACAGCCGGCTCTCATACACTGCGTACAATGCAAAGCACTCCTGCTGTTTTTTTACTTCAGACGTGTGTTCTTTGTCGACAACACCTTGTTCACGCCTGGGAGCTGACCAGTACAACCACAGTTTACTACTGTTGGCCAGCAAGCACCGTCTGATGTTTAAGTGCCTTGCTCAAGGGCACCTTTTTGATAGATGTACTGGGAGAAAAGCATTATTCATTCACTTTCTGCACCGTTTGTTTCCAGAGTTTTTTTTGTCATTTTTCCAATCAGGATATTTTTCTTTCCTGATGACGAGCAGCCTTTTACGAGTTTTTAGCACAGAACGGTGACTAGACAAGTCGAAGACCGTTTATTACACCATTCAAAAATATACTAAAACAACACAGTCCTTGACACTGACCATCACCAGTGCCAGAGGTAGACTATGAGCACCACATTGTTAGTGCTGAGTGCGTCATGTGCTCTACGCTGATATTTTGAAATGTCAGTGGAAAGTGAGCCTGTGTTCCTGCAGCTCTGATGAGCCAGACCTGCTCTCAAGGGACAGAGATGGAAGTGGCTGAAAGGTCAGAGAATGAAGTGTGCTCCACACCAGCTGGTCATTGATTTAAAATCCCATCACCAACTACTGTTTTTATTGCACTCACAGGTCCTGTGGAGCCGAGCTTCATGTTCAACTCTTCTTGTATACACGTTCACACCATGGAGCTGACCAGTGTGACCGCAGCCCTCCACTTTTGGGTAAACGTTCGCCCTGAATAAATAAAAGTTTAAAAAAGTCATCTCTGGACCTGAGAGGAGACAGACATGTTGTCTCCTCCCGAGTAAAAGACCGACAGAGCCAGAACTGGGTGATGATGTCAACGAGATGGTCAGACATGGTTACGTGAATTTATAAACGTGGACTTTGTTTTTTTTATATTTAGTCTTACTTCAGAAAAAAGTCTAATTAAATAGTGTAGTGCTCATGTACTAAGGAGAACAAGCAATGCAGTCCAGTGTCCTACTGAAGACACCAACAGCCTGAAGTCTGATGTCTGGAAATTCATGATCAGAGGCAGTTAGCAGTTTCTTCATCATGTCTTTCCTTATGCTAGTCTGTGCTTGTTAGTTACATGCAAAGATTTGTTTCTTTATTTAATTTGTAAAGTAAGCCACTGAGGTACTGTTGCAAAATCCACGCTTTAAGATTGATTGATGCATAACCTCAAACATCATTTTAATGAGCTGCTTCATGATGGGCTGACTCCACCCATGTTGTTTATTCATAGTTAAATAATAATAAACAGGTCTGCCTGTCGTAATAGCTATAGTCATGTACTTGTTGTTGTTTGTGGTTGTTTGTTGTACCTGTTAACAATTTATATGACTTGTAGTCAAATTTATCTGTTGTGTTTAACCTGAATCTCACGCACACCTCAATAAGCCTTCGCCAGGCTTTGCCATTGTAAACAAGGATCGGTTCATGAACTGCCTGCCTAAATAAAGCAGGAGTTTCACTACAACAAAACAGACCTGCCGCATCTGTAACATTGTGTGAGCTTTGCCCAGCTTTCCTTTCCTTGGCACACCACAGACATTATGAAACAAAACCACGTATTACCATACAGAGGGAACAAATTTCACTCCAAAAATGGATTTGGTTGAGACTGCTCTTTTCCTAATGGACAGTGGGGCTGAAAAAAAAGGGGGGGAGCGGGGGAAATGCCAAGTTCCAACCTTGACTCTAGACCTATCAATCTCTGCTGTTGTTGAGTGGCTGGCATCCAGAGACTGAGGAAGTGTGTGATCCTGGTCTGTAAAAACTTACACGCCTACAGAAAGGCGGAAAATGAAAGACATCTTCTCATTCAGTTCCACTTTTCCCCAAACGGTCTGGTGTTCACATTGGGTCCAAGCTGCAACATCTTAAACATGCTCTTCGAGTAAATCAGTGTATTCTTTTGCTTTCTAAGTTTACAGTTTATAGTCTTCAAGGGAAGAATAGATTACAGTTAGCTAAAAATTTATTTTAGTATTTTAGGTGAAAATTTGGGGCTGATTCTGAATTTTGGCAACACAGAACAATCTATCATTTGAGCTTATCTTGTTGTGATCACTCCATGTTTGTAGGAGTCTTGATCAGATTAAAAAACACTGTGTAGAGCCACATTATTTTCACATCTAACTCTGCGAATTAGGGATTTATTATGACCCAACCAGAGTTGGTGATTATTGGAACAGTGGAAAGACTTTTGGTGAGTTTTATTTTGTTTCTGCAACTGTGAATGAAGTATGGTTTATGATCAGTTAACACGATAATCTTAGTTCCTAACTAGTCTTACTTTGGTAAAAGAGAACTCCAAAGGTGTACAGTTGTATAACTATCTTAAACAAGGAAAAAAGTTGTAGGAATATGTCTTTCCTGCCAATTTGTGAGTTTATTTTGTTTATTTTTTGGAATTTCTTCTTGGAAAATTGTAACATATCACCCAACCTTAGTTCAGAGGTTTCCTGGTCCTTACCTTTGAGCTCCACGTCTCTCCCTTCAGATGTGGATGTTGGTGCTGGAGCAACTGGCAACTGATCAATTTTCCCCCAGCTTTTACCTGGAAGACAAAAGAGTCACATGAAGCTCCGTGTAGTCTGGAAGGTGGAGTCATGTCATGGTTAAGGCATACTAGAGATGGTAATACTTTAGGCCATTAATTCCATGTTTGTATACTTCAATACTTTCTGTTGTATCAAGCATCAAAACCGTGAATAGGACAGAACTTCACCTGAAGTGTTTCAGGCAAACTGGCAATCATTTTGTATACCATATGTTATTTGACTGATTTTCTGCAGCAGCCACTTTAAGCATGGGCAGGCGATATGGCAAATATGACAATATACATTTGTCAACTGACTTTGGCATATCGTACCATGTAGCTATCCCTTTAATATCTCTGGATGTAATAGACCATTTTGAACAATATTGCAAATCAGCATGCTGTACTGCTTTAATGGCAATATGTTTTTATATGATTGTATTTTGCATGATAAGTTTTAAGCACAGACTGTGAAAACCCTTGTTGGTGCATTTACGGAAACTCAGATGTATAAAACTTCCATTGCCAACTGCTGACAAGAACTGTATGGAAATAAGACCAATGTGCAAACGTGCACGTCATGAGAACCTCAAAGTCTTGTTTCGTAGCATACTGTACATAGACTGTGACCAGAGTTCAGTCCTCACCTCGACACCTGCCGCGGTGTGCCAGTGTCAGTGTTTTATCTTTGCAGCGTGCCCTCTGCAGTTCACAGCCAGTCTCATAGCTCCGCCCATCTGAGCCGCACACCGGCTTCCCCTGCGTCCGTGTGCAGATGACCCCACAGTCTCTGTCTCCGATCAGCCACTGCAATGAGAGAGACAGCAACATGTTGGCATAACAATGGTGCAATACATGAGGACTGTAACTCAGCTCAGGTTTCACATAACACAGACAGATACATCTCAAGATGACTGAACTTGTAGCTTTTTTTTCTTATTCCTTGTTTTCGTTCTTTTTGGCTCATTTTCTTTCTTATTAGTTTCACTGTGTTTAAACAAAGGCTGCATTCAGCTGAATCTGAGATTATGCCAAACTAACGCACAAATTGGACTCATGGGTCACTTGCCCATTTTTCTCAAAACATTTCTTTGCTCCTCAAATACTTGTCGGCCGCAGCCTTTCTTTGTTTAGGCTACTGTAACGAGGGTGTGAGCAGCTCTGCACTGAAGCTCAACCTAGAGGCTAATTTATCTAATTGATCTTTGGCTGGAGACCGATTGAGCCTTGATTAAGTTTCAAAGGAACCATAGCACATTCAGAGCGATAGGATTCCTTCTCCCCCACTCCTCTGATCTTTACTCATGATCTATTAGAGAATCGATTCTAATCTACTGTTGGAAGACGGCCTTCTCCCTGACAGCAATAATGGTTCTTGGCTTCGCAGCTGTCTCAAATATATTTAAGGTCTAAAGGATTTCAGGGGAGCACAAACCTTGCCAAAAAGATGGAGTTGTGGGTTAGTGAGGAGAGCGAGTAGGTGTGCTTTGAGCAGCACCAGAATCCTGGCCCAGCAACGCACCTGAGCCAACTCTTGTTTGAAAATGTTTCAACTATTTGAAAAGAACCTTGATTTGTCTTATCTTGCAAGTGATGATTAAACTTTGCAGTTGCTCAAACACCTGTTTCGTAAAAGACAAAAATCAAGCAATTCTCAAGAAGGAAACAGCATGTGAAAATGTTCTCAAATGCATTTTTTCAGCCAAAGCCTCTCAAGCAATTACCAGAATGCTCGTTGGAGCTCTGAACACAGGAGATCTCATTAAGGGCAGGTACAGAGGCAAGAAGGTGGTGGAAAATGAGACGCAGCCAGAAAGAAAAGGCACAGTTTCCATCCTTTACTTGCCAAATCAGACGATCTGAGGCAGTTTTCAAAAACGATCCACATTAGAAATGCATGTGTGGAGCTTGCATGTACACAAGCAGACTTTCTCTCTTTGTAATTCTCTTGCTCCCTCCTCTTCCGCATGCCCGACTCAAAAAAGCTGTATTTTGAACAACATCACAAATGTTGCTTGGAAACAGCTTTCCTTCAAACATATAAAGAGCAATCAGACAGACCTGAGCAAAGTGTAGATGGTAACAAAGCCAAACCGCTGATGTCATGAATGTGCTGGTGTACAACTGGATCTCATATACAAATGAATCACCAGGAGTTGCTCTAAACAGATTAACTGCATAGCAATCGCTTTTTTTCCTGTTAATGCAGTACTGTACGTGCATCTGTGCCTTTGTGTTGGCATCATTATCATTATTATTATTATTATTATTATTATAAATTAGGCTGCTCTAGAAACCATCTGAATTCTTTGCTTCTCCACCCATTCTACACTTTAAAGACTGCCAATAAAATTATACTTTAAAAATCTTCTAGTGACACTATTGTCCTGGACAATTTGACTTTGATCGATCAGTTATAATGGTATCAATAATGACCTATAATCTCTTCTATCTGAAAGTCCTTCTACATCACTTTTGAAAATGACTATTTTAGAGTATGTTAATACATAATAAAACTTTGTATGTTGCACACTATAAAACTAATTAAAGTTTTAAGAAAAGCCACAAAATAACAAGACAAAGGGTCTACAGCCATGCTAGCTCTGTTAGTTAGTACTCAGAAATTAACGCTGACATCAGCGCGCTTACATGCTCACATTGACAATGCGAGCAATATTTCACTATGCAATTGTCTATCTACATGAAAACTAATCACCAAAGTCATTATAATTTATCCTTTGAGAACTATTAATGTCTGAACAAAATAATGTGCCATTCCATCTGATAGATGCTGAGATATTTCAGTCTGGACCAAAGTGGTTAAGCGACCGACCATCCCTAGAGTCACACCGCTAGTGTGGCTAATGATGAAGACTCATACAGCCACAGTGGCAGCATACTTGAATTTTATAGACTTTGTCATATTTTGGCTAATATCCCTCTCTCTGACAACCTGGAAACAAAACAGGAGTTTAAACTTGTTATAGCACGAATTACATATCCAAAATGTGGTCAAGAAAATGAGCCGCAGGTCAGAAAATAATCTATTTACAGTCGTTTGTGGTTTTTTACTTCACCGATACCAGAGAGTATCTGCCAGAGCTGACAGTTATGACAGTCATGAACATTAATTTCTAAATCTCAGCAATTTAATCAAAAACTGAGCCCAAAATTCCGAAAGTGAAAAATCGGCCAACTGGTGAGCTAATATCACATGTGTCCAGTGCAAATTAATTTTATTTTGAGACTTTGTTTGGATCATTTTCATCATATTAGTGAAGAATTCTGGCTCGTTTAATACTCGAGCAGATGAAGCCTCATTGGAAAAAATGTGGAATTAGTTCACCCCACAAGCAGGATATTTTAACTCTGCATATAAGTACGATTTTTTTGCAACTTAATATAACACTAGGTAGACTGGGAAGTTTTTTGGCAATGGAGAAATTATCATGGTAATTATCATGGCTGTCACAGCTGTCAGCACAGGCAGATACTGTATTATCTGTAGAGAGCAAACGGAGAGATTAGCGTTTCCCTGAAATAGAAAAAGATAGTGGAGTTTCAGTATCTGCCAGATAAAATCAGGAGGTGGGTTGACAGGGTGGTCCAGAGTTTAAGGAAGGTGTCCTGAAACTGGAGGGTCACAGGTTTAAACCCCACACAAAATAATGTAGCTGATAAAATATCCAAGTCCTGAGCACAGAGAGACTCTTTTGGCTGCTCGAACTCCTCCAGTGAAATGTTGATACTTCCTTAAATTGATACAAAAAAAACCCTCGTATAACAAGGAGAAAGGAAAGTTAAACAAAAAGGGGAATAATACTTCAGAGGATACAATGGGACACAAACCCAGCTCGCACAGCCGTAACAATACGTTGAGAGCAAGCCAGACAGTTTAATGTGATTTCTGTCTTGGCATTGAAGCATGGTAGAAAATCTCTTGTCAGACAGCTCAGAGTAAAACTAAATCATGATGTGCCTCCTTATGAGAAGGAAGAAAACATAGCACATCATTTCTTTTTTAACTTGCGTGTCGTCCTCTTGGCTTTTATAAAGGACAGGAATAATTCAGTAGTTGGAAAAAAGCATGTATGTGCACTGTATCTGTTTGTTTTTTCCAGAATAAAGACGTATATGACATCTTATTATATTTATATATAATATACAGGTAGTGTCAAGGACTACCATTTTAACTAAGAATAAAGCAGTTACATGTTTCTTCCACTGCACAAGTGGTTACAAAGGATTGACTAGCCTGAGCCAAAGTACTGTGGATGGAAAGCAGTTTGTCTATGTGATGAACTGTTAAATCCTTAAATCCGTACCTAAAGCCAGCTATTCTAAAAAAGTGATTTAGGTCTATCCGGCCACTCCTCCAGGTTAAGAGCCACAGAGTCTGGCCTGTGCCCACAGACTGACCCGTCCTCCCCATCCCTGACTCACAACCAAAATGGATGCAGCCTCTCTACCTCCACTGTCATAATAAAGCATTAAATCACAGATTTTGAGACGGCATTGTCCGGTAAGTGGAAATAAACACTACCAAGTCTCCCACACGTAGTCATTTCTTAGTCATACTGTCCCACCCACAGACTCATCTCCCGTAAAGGTGAAACCAGAGACTCTGGCAGATCAGAAAAAGTTTCTCAAGTCCTCTACTTGTGCTGAAGATTACAAAATTACTTTTAAGTACTTTGGAAATAATATTTTGACTCACTGTTTATCTGTTAAAGTGTAGATGATGACTGTCCGGTAGTCTTATTTACACTGATAAATGTGCTTAAGGTTTGCTTGAAATAAAGCTCAACACATAATAGTGCATTAAAGTTAGCGTTGTTGTGTATCATCTAACAACACACACAAAAATACAGAATTTATATCACAAACTCTCATTAAAAAGCAAAAATAAGAGTAATTGAGCGTTTTTTAAGATTAAGATTGTCACTTTCATATCTGCCCATTTAATATGAAGCTGGAGCCAGCAGCCGTAGCTTATCTTAGCATTAAGACAGCTAGCCTGACTCTGACCAAAGGTAACAAACTTCCCTTACCTGTACCTCTAAAGCTTAATGAACATCAAATTATATCTAAGTTGTTTAATCCATATTATCAAGATCCATATCAAGAAAGCGGATAAGCGTGTTTCCCAAAATGTCGAACTATTCCTGCTATTGGCACTTGGCCAGTTACTGATGAAATCCTTATGCAGAGTTGTGTAATGTACTGTATGTCATTTAAAATAAATATTAATACACAATGTTCAAAACCCTAAATTGCTTGTGCATAAACAAACTTGCCAAAGAACTGTTTCAGATTAAAACAACCGAGACAAAAACTTCTAAATTAAGAAAAATCAAGCCTCCTGGAGAGAATATCAAATAGCAGACGGTATACTAAACCCTATCTAATCTAATCTAATCTGTGGACTCAGACTCTCTGCACTGTATCCCAGCCACCTCTCAGGCCCGATCGAGTCTCACAACAGTTTCTACGGGACCACTGCTCTACATGAGGTCCTCACTACAATACTTCTGCACGTGGTTCACATTTGACGACTGCCAAAATAAAGTTCACTCACACCAGCAGTGAATGACACTGAGCCTGGGTCACGTGGTGTCTGAAAAACGACTCTCTTAACTAGCCGGGACAACCAGATGAGTGAGGTCTGTCTTTTAGCACCAGACAAAGTAGTTTACAGGCAATCAGCAAAGCATTTGACAACAGCCTTACACTTTTCTGTGGTTTCCAGCTTACCAAGTAGTATTTGAATTGTCCTGATGTGGTAAACCCCACCCATTTGGCTGCTT